AGGTGAGTGAGAAGGTGTGTGTGTGTGTGTGTGTGTGTGTGTGTGTGTGTGTGTGTGTGTGTGTGTGTGTGTGTGTGTGTGTGTGTGTGAAAAAACATTAGTTAGTAGTTACAGTTGATTGATTGACAGTTGAGAAGCGGGCCGAAAAAGCAGAGCTCAAACCGCGCAAAAACCACTAGGTGAATACACACACACATTCAGGGACGTTAGAAACAACTTTTTCAGTGTCAAGTAGTTAACAGATGGAATGCATTAGGCAGTGATGTGGTGGAGGCTGACTCCATACACAGTTCTAAATATAGATATGATAGAGCCCAGTAGGCTCAAGGAATCTGTACACCAGTTGACTGACAGTTGAGAGGCGGGACCAAAGAACCAGAGCTCAACCACCGCAAGCACAGGTGAGTATATACTAGGTAAGTATATGTATACTCATAGTATGTATACTAGGTGAGTATACACACGCACAGTTTCGCCTCTAATATCCTTTAACTCCATTTTACTTAAGAGCGTTTCGGACAATAAAGTGATACTCGTTCTATGTCAATAGATAGAAAAACGTGTCTTTAATAATGTAATATTCAGCCTTAAGGAGCAACAGTTAGCATGCCCGTCACTAACATCTCCCAACTATCAAATTACAAAAAAGGATGATGAAACAGAATAAAATTCCGAATTTTCTTCAGAAAAAAAAAATATATCAGTCGCCGAATAATATATTTCAAGAACTCTAGCCTAATATATTCCCAGAGCAAGTATAATGTATTCCCAAAGCTAGCCTAATATATTCCCAGAGCTAGCATAATATATTCCCAGAGCAAGCATAATGTATTCCCAGAGCTGGCCTAATATATTCCCAGAGCTAGCATAATATACTCCCAGAGCTAGCATAATATACTCCCAGAGCTAGCATAATATACTCCCAGAGCTAACATAATATACTCCCAGAGCTAGCATAATATATTCCCAGAGCTAGCATAATATACTCCCAGAGCTAGCATAATATACTCCCAGAGCTAGCATAATATACTCCCAGAGCAAGCATAATGTATTCCCAGAGCTAGCATAATATACTCCCAGAGCTAGCATAATATACTCCCAGAGCTAACATAATATACTCCCAGAGCTAGCATAATATACTCCCAGAGCTAACATAATATACTCCCAGAGCTAGCATAATATACTCCCAGAGCTAACATAATATACTCCCAGAGCTAGCATAATATATTCCCAGAGCTAGCATAATATACTCCCAGAGCTAGCATAATATACTCCCAGAGCAAGCATAATGTATTCCCAGAGCTGGCCTAATATATTCCCAGAGCAAGCAAAATATACTCCCAGAGCAAGCCTAATATATTCCCAGAACTAGCCTAATATATTCCCAGAGCTAGCATAATATATTCCCAGAGCTAGCATAATATACTCCCAGAGCTAGCATAATATACTCCCAGAGCAAGCATAATGTATTCCCAGAGCTGGCCTAATATATTCCCAGAGCTAGCCTAATATATTCCCAGAGCAAGCATAATATACTCCCAGAGCAAGCCTAATATATTCCCAGAACTAGCCTAATATATTCCCAGAGCTAGCCTAATATATTCCCAGAGCTGGCATAATATATTCCCAGAGCTAGCATAATACTTTTTATAAGATGTTGCAGTATATTTCAGAAGCAAGCATAGCACATTTCAATTCAAAATATAATTCCGGAGCTTGGACGATATACTTCGCGAGTTTCCACTATATATTCCCAATCACAATCATTGCAACAGCGAGAATAAAAAAAAATATCTCAATTATAAAAGGATTTTGCCAGAAACTAATCACTAAATAATTGCCTTTTGAATAATACTATAATTAAAACAGGATTTACTTCGAGCCAAAACAACGCATATGAACGATCGCATTTGGTTAGTACTCACCGTATGAGGTACAGGAGTGGTGGGATGAACACTACAGACCTGTTACATTGGTAGTTAAAGGTCCACCTGCAGTAAATAAGGGTCACTGGAGAGGTCAGAGTGGTGCAGGAGGGGAGGAGGGAGGTCACTAGTGAGATAAGATCTATTGAAGCTGGGAGAACTGCCACAAGTGAAGTCAGAGGTTAGATCAAATCGGAAAAAGAATGGAGGGGAGGGGAGGGGGGGGGGAGGGGGGGGGGGGGGGGGGGGAGAGAAAGGCGAAGTTAATGAAATACACTTCGGTGTGTGACCTCCTGTGTGCAACACAAAGGTGTATAGTATCATCAGCTGCATATGCAAGGTTGGCAAAAATATAAAGTAACTTTAGGAATATGAGCAAAACGTCGTTCAAGTCTTTGTACATCACGTACGTCAGACCAATTCTGCAAATATGCGACACTAGCCTGGACGTCTTTATTTCGTTAAACACAAAAACGGGGTTGGAGAACATTTAGAGGTATGCCACCAGATTAGTCCCAGAGTCGAGAGGTATGAGTTACGAGGAAAGACTAGTCGAATTACACCTCACGTCACTAGAAGAAGCAAGAAGACATGATCATAACATATAAAATTCTCATAGGAATTGACAAGGACAAGTAATTTGGCATAGATGCCACAAGAACAATGATACACGACTAGAAACTAAGTACCCAAATAAGCTACAAAGATATTACAAATAATTAAAAGTAATGAATAAATGGAACCTGCTAAAAAATGAAGTTGTGGAAGCAAACTGCAAACACAGCTTTAAATGGAAAAATTCCAGAACCCAAGGGGCTCGAGAATTTGTACACCAGTTGAGTACAGTTTAATCAACCTGCCCTTTCGCAAAACTCATCGTACTCTGGTCTAAAACTCCCCAACGTCAAAGAGAGATGTATTAAAATAATTGCGGCTGGCAACAAAATTGACGTGATGTCCCGTTTTCAATTCGCAGGTCCTCAATTAGGGTAGGTTCAGGCAATTTAGTACATTAATTAACGACGCTATACACGATCGAAAAGGCGGGCTGCTTTTAAGCACCAGTACCCACGCGAGAGCCCAAAAACCCAGTCGATGAGGCTTCGGCCTCCCTCACACGTGGTTCGAGACTCCTATATAGCCCAGGTGAATGGAAAGCCCAATCGCAAACCTCGCACGCACAACTGATTCCACAGGACCATACCAGGAACAGTGACAGGAACTACGGAAGGAAGGAAGAGCTGCCTGGGGCGACTGAGAAAATGTCACGGGACATGATTCACAGGAGAGTGCATAATTCACGCCAACCTCGTTATCCCACGGGAACCTCGAGGGGCCCCTGAATAATACACGCCGCACTGCCTAGACCACGGAAGAATGTTTGGGTCAAGTTATTGAGTTCATTTAAAGTGTCCTCTCCTAACCTACCAGAGGATTCAAAACGGAAAACGGGACAGTACGTTACTTTCGCGAGTCGTTTCCATTGTCTAGTGTGACAATTTTTGGCCTTGTGTAAAGCTTACGAGCGAAATGCGACGTCCTCTGTTGGACAGGACAGATTGTGCATTGTGAGGACCATATCTGTGTGTGTGTATCTGTGTGTGTATCTATGTGTGTGTGTGTGTGTGTGTGTGTGTGTGTGTGTGTGTGTGTGTGTGTGTGTGTGTGTGTGTGTGTGTGTGTGTGTGTGTGTGTGTGTGTGTGTGTGTATGCGTGCGTTATATCAGTCGGCATACCCTACCACAATATTAAATAAATGCAAAGCTGGCATTACACCAACTTGAGCTAATGACTAATTTATTCATTACAGTTTTAGTTATTCACCCCAACCATGAACGCTGGCCTGGGTGGAGCCGCTCTTGGTGATGGTAGGAAAGGTGGAACGCCGTTATGTTTTTTTACGCAATTTAGTAACCACCGTAAAATTTACGTTGGTTTGGGGAAATGAAACACTGCAATATTGACGCTTCCTGGGACTAATGAGTATCAGCTTCGATATGCTAGAATCCTAGCATCCCCCACACCACAAGCCTAGCATCCCCCACACTACAAGCCTAGCATCCCCCAAACCACAAGCCTAGCATCTCCCACACCACAAGCCTAGCATCCCCCACATCACAAGCCTAGCATCCCCCACACCACAAGCCTAGCATCCCCCACACCACAAGCCTAGCATCCCCCACACCACAAGCCTAGCATCCCCCACACCACAAGCCTAGCATCCCCCACACCACAAGCCTTGTGACTTCGATATAAACCTAACGTGTATGAATACACTCTGGCTTGCTGTACCCTGATATAATGAATTAATATTGTTATAACATACAGTAATGGGTTCTGGAATTGAGCCCCAAAGTTCGTGTTTTATCTTGGCGGGCAGGAAGGGTAATTATTAAACCTTTTCTTGAATTTTCTCACCGCGTTTCCCGCCTGGCCCAGCTCTCGCCCTTTCCACCTGCGATAAGTCTTCTGCTCAATCGCGTAAAATGTCCCAGTTGTTTGCGAATAGTGGCTGGGGCATTAGTGTCTTACGGCAGGTATGACACAGATTTCCCACGCAAGAGATCTCGTAAGAAAAGTGAACTAGTAATAGGCGGGTTACCGGAGCGACTAATTAGCCACCTCGACGAGTGTCTTACTAAATGGCAGGTTGCTTGCGTATACGCCTAGGTTTAGTTGACACGCAGGTATGTTTGTTTACACGTACGCTAGCTCTGTGTCGGGTTAGTGTGTGTAAGTATAGTGCCAGGAGAGCACACACAGTGTGAGATTCTCAACAGACCTATACATGCCACTGTAACTCTCTTGGGCATTAACCCCGACTTTAATATTGTTTACATAATACTATGTGTTTATATTATGCAGTTTACCCTAACTTATACCTCATGAAGTGATAAAAACTATTTAAATTAACAAATATCAAAACAAAATTCTCTGTCATCCGTTCACAGTGTGTTTGTATTTTGGTTAACTCGTCAAATTCAATGTAATGTTTCCCTCCCTCACAACACAACACCATCTCCCGGAGGGCGCCAGGATACTCCGACCTGCGGGCAAACCTCGACAGTTACTCACCTGAAGGATGTAAACCTCAAGTGCCATGTTTTGAACAGCGTAGAGACCCCCCCCGAGTCGAGCACCACCTCCAACACTACTGGAAATGTCAGGCCTCAGTGACCCGACTGGCTGCTGCCTACCTGCGCGCCATCACAACAACTCCCGCGCATACCACTCGCTTTTGTTTTTCCCGCCAAATTTTTCCACGTTTATTTTCTCCCCACTCATAAAACTAATTCCATTACTGCTTGTGGGTTGAGTTTGCAGAAATGTATCGAACTGTGCTGTGTATTAGTTTACGTGCCCCGACAGTCCGATGCAATCTTGCAACTTCTGGTTGTACGTTCATAGCAGTGTGTGGCCAATATTGCCGCGATAGTGTCTATTTTAAATTATATACCCTTCTTTGACAGCATTTTCATTCAGTCTCATTTCGTAGGGATTATGCTGTACTTCCGACAGTTGCCTTTTATTCAACAAATACCTTAACACTAAGCTAGAAAATATTGGTTGGAAAGAGCCGACCCGGCATCTTGTGCTTCACTATATTGATCTTCAAGCCAGCCAGCCGGAAGCTTTCAAACTATGAATAAAGAGTTTTCTCAATTGTATATAATTTTAAACGAACTAAAATATAATACTATTGATAAATATATAAAGGCCGAAAAAAAAACTTAACCGGCAAATGCAAATGACGAAATGCAAAAATTAAACATAAGACATAGGATTTTACAACATAATTACGTTACTTTTACGTTTGCCTTAAAAAACTTAAAAAAAAAAATTAAGCTACTCCCGAAATGCAAAGTGGAGAAATATAAGCAAATTATTATTATACAGGATCCTCAACAGGTAGCATGCTTGTTAGAATGAAGCCTTGTTCCAAGACTTCCTTATTTACCGCGTTTAGGCAATAAATTGGTAATTAAGAGTACTAATGGGTCGTTAATGACCTGTTGCTTGGCACAAAGAACACCTGTGTGTTCGTGGTATCAAGAGTGAAGCCAGGCTTTTAATTCAGGTTGCATCATAATTAAATGGAAGGGCCCCAGCTGATGGTCCCCTATAATCAGACTGAGACTCACCAGACTCAGGAGTGTGAGAATACTTAATAGCCTTGATACTCATGTTAGTATTTTGAGTCATGAAAATTAATTTTGATAAAGGAATCTGTTGGAATATGTAATATGCCTACTCAATGATTTGTTTAAGAGCCAGCTGATTTTTGTTTAGTTTTCTAAATTGTATCTAACATCAGTGTTCAGTGTCTCGGTAGTACAGTTGGGTTTATTCTCAACTCCCAATCAGGAATCCCAGGTTAGTCAGAAACGGTTGGACACATTTCCTACCAACTAATGCACCTGTTCCTCAAGCAGTAAAGTTAGTCAGATTGTTGTGGGGGGTTGCATCCTGGGGAAGGCCAGTGTTTGAACTTTGAGGGGGACCTCGAGATAGGCCTATATACCTATAATATATATATATATATATATATATATATATATATATATATATATATATATATATATATATATATATATATATATATATATATATATATATATATATTTGATGGTTACAAGATATACATGGGTTGATACAAAAATAATAATGCAAAAAGGTGCTTAAAGGTTATGGATCTCTTGAAGAACACAACAATGGGAAACATTGATGAATGTCACAGACGGGTTCGATCATTGTTGCAAGTCAAACACTTCTTCGAATTCCTCTGAAGTTGGACTAGTGCCCAAGACGCAACAGGCATTTCCCCTTTGAATCGCAACACTGAGGCGCTGGAACAAGAAACTTTTTGCTCTCTGGTCTTTTGTAGCGCTGATCAATTTGTCCCCCAATTCCTTCAGGAACTTCAATGCACATTTTCCCCACGAACCGAGGGTCTCCGAGCCGATCGGAACAAAGCTGTAGCAGTGTGCTAGACCTCTGTATTTAATAATTTTCTGCGATTCCCTGAAAGAAGCAGCACCACCGCTTTCACGTGTGCTGTAGTGGAGGTAGGTACTGGCCAGTGTGGCAGCGCACGTGTAGTCCCATACCACTTGCTTACCATCCTTCCAAGGTAGCAAGGTGACCCCATCAGGGCGCTTCTGAGGGTCGTTAGGTCTGGATAAGTGTGGTTCTCTTTGTGCCGGGCAGCGGGCTGTGGCGAGGCTCCTCTTGATGATGTCGTTGACTTCTTCATGTCTTGCAATTTTACCCTGTGATTTACGACATACCAGACCATGACGACCATATTGGTCTGCCATCGCAGTTCCGCAGATGCACCTATGTTCGGTGAGGATGGGGGCGGCAAGGCGAAGGGCAACTCCAATGCGGAGAGCGTCATGACTGAGGCGAGTTCCCAGGGCTGCATTGGGCACAGCAAATAAAAAATCCCCGGCGTGGGGTGCTGTTACCGCTAGGAGGCGGGCTTTGTTTTCAGCATCAGCGTTGTCAATCATTGCTGTGACAGTCTTTTCCATTATGGGGCTATCCCAGTGGGCCTGCTTGTGGTCTTTTGGGACTTGTGGTCGGGGTTGAGGGTGTGCAATGGTGTCCCATTGTCTGGCTGCTTCGATGAACGTTTGATCATGAGTTCCCGCTGTCTCTCTCATACGCTCTGGTAGGATCTGCCCTACCAATTCGTTGGCTGCTGTACATGAGGATAAGAATGCTGGAAGTGCTACCTCAGTTGCCTTTCGTATGCCTATCCCTCCAAATCTCACTGGTAGTGTTGCTTGGTCCCACTGACTGTCATCTAAATCTAGGTTGAGCGCCTTCCTGAATATTGACCTGAGGAGCTCATCATATTGATTTAGAAGTGGGTTGCCAAAAGTTGGTGCACACCTTAAGAAGTATGTTAGCCTGGGCAGGGTAAGGCACTTTGTGAGAAGGTAGAGGGCATCGTGGGAGTCCAAGTCCCCAATTCTCTCTTCCATCCTCTTTAGGTCTCTAAACTTTTCGTCAAGGACTGCAGCAATAGCATTGTGGCCCAGAGGTGCTCCGAGTAGTGTGCTGTCGGTAGGTTTAACGACTGAGGCTTCTGGTAGAACTGATTTCACTGCTCTAATGATTACTTCACTAGATGCAATAATTTCGCACTTGGAGGGGCTAAGAACGAGACCCATGGACTCCCCCCGTGTCTTCACCAGCTGTAAGTCTTCTAGCAGGGAATCTTGTGTGCCTGCCAGAGTGCCATCATCCAGGAACCAGATGTTGAGCTCGCTGGACAGTCTGGTTGTAATTTCTCGAACCGCTATGCAAAAGAGGAACGGTGCAAGTGGGTCACCCTGTTGAATTCCCTCTGCTGAGGTGACTTCATGTTTGCCAAACAGGAGGGTTGAGTCTTTGCTGTAGCCTGCTGACACAAACGGGAGAATGCTTGGGCAATGTTCCTGGACTGCAGTGAGGATTGCTTCCCTTTTGACCGAGTTGAAAGCGTTTTTAAAATCTAATTTTACTACTGCCTGGTCTTCAGTAAGAGAGCTAATGTAGGCTCGTGCAGCATGAGCCGCTGCTTCACAGCCTTGGGGAACTCCAAACCCCAGCTGGTTGGGTTGCAGCATGGTGGCTGCTTCCGTTCGGATACTTCTGACAGCAGCCCTTGCAACTAGGCGGCGAAGGGTATTACCAACGGCAATGGGTCTGATTCCTCCCCCCTTCTTTTTGAGGGCACATAGGGATGCACCAAAGAAGAATGGTTTGATTTCATCAGGGATTAACCCGGCGAGGCAGTTGTTGACAAACGTTGTGATTTCTGTCAGGAGCGCTTCTGCAGCTGGGCCAAGAACAGGGTTCACCATTTCCTTCACATGTTGAGGTCTTACCCCTGTGTAGCCTCCTGAGGAGCCCGGGGGAAATGAAACGATAGCTTTATAAACCTCTGACTCCCGGAGGACGAGAGGTTCCTGATTAGGGGCGAGCCTGACCTGTGGGGGAGGTTCACCTACGGCCCTGAGGGGGTGTTTTTCTCTCAGTGCTTGGGCTGTGGTTTCATCCCTGGGCAAAATTTTGTCCTCACTTGTGATTAACCTGAGTGCCCCGACTGTATTGCCCTCTTCAATTTTCTTGCTGACTTGGGTACCTAATTTTCTGTTGTCGCTGATTGTCGTACTTGGTCTGCCTCGGCGGTGTTTGGTGTGTTTGGGGAGGCGGACTAGGTTGTCAGCCCTCGGAAAATCCCTAATTGCTTTATTGACGGATGAGGCCAGTGTCTTGCCTCCTCTGTCTGGTACACCTAAGCATGCATTGCCAAAAAGTAACAGATTGTGCCAGGCTTTGATGGTATCAGGTGCAACAAGGTTATTTGACCCTCTGTTGACTTTTGCGATGAGGTCCGTGTATTTCCCTGCAGCAAAAGGGCGAGAGGCCTTTGGGATGTGGGTGAGTGTCCTGGTTGACGTTGCTTTAATTGCCTCTAGCAGGTCGTCTGTTGCAATGTAATCTGTTGCGATTTGTACTGGTGCAACAGGCTCCTGAGTGCTGCCTCCTCCCACGGGAGGCCTCCCTGACCCAGGACAGTCACCATGCTGGCGTATGACTCTGGAGACAGAGTTGATGCTGACGTTGTTCCCACAACCACTGCATGTGCCTCTCCTTTGATTGGCTTCGGGAGGGGTGAGCTGGCTGGTAGCGGCTTCTTCTGCCATCCCCTTAGGTAAAGTGACTGTCACCTTGCACTGGAGTATTTGTCTCTCCCTCCTGGCTGGGGGGGACGAGGTTGTCCCCTATACTATGCGTCATGTCTGGGCAGATGTCTGGGGTGGGTGGGCTCGTGGAGGTGGTGGGTGGGGGTTGGGAGGCTGCGCGCTGGCCCGGTCTGGGAGGGGGGCCGGGGAGGGAAGGCGCGACCACCTGATCGTGGGAGGTGGGGGCGGGGGAGCGGAAGACACTGCACCACACGGAGGGGGGGGGGGGGAGACACTACACAGGTGGAGTGGTCGAGCGGGAGACACTACACTCAGGGGGTGGGGGGAGGCACTACACTCAGGGGGTGAGGGGAGGGTTGATGTGGCACGTAACACTTGGATAATTTCCTTTTTGTCACTAAACACTGAATAGGCACTTATAAGCACTCTGAAATTATTCATTTGATTAGAATTCCAAGGCTCGCAGAATTAAAGCCAAGGCAACAATTGAAAAATGTATAAGTGCATGATCATTAGAGTTAGCCTTTGCTATACAGTATGGGTGTCTTCACGGAAATTCACTCTTCACAAGGTATTTAATACAAATGTTCATTAGATGCTAGTGGTGGATTCACTACTTTCAAATTATTGCAAATATTTAAATGTTTTATACATTTCTTGAATTACATTCTGGAATCATAACATCTTCCAAACACACTTCAATGAAGAACTGAAATGTAATTTTTTAAAGTGTCATGGTACACAAATGTGCCTGTGTATCATAAATCATGGTACACAAGCACAAATTTTTGTATATTGAATGACTTAGCACATAGCAATAGTTACAACTACAAGTAGAGAGAGAGTATGAAGAGGCCTGCTATTTCCAAGGTCAGCTGCCAAGAAGACACACACACATGTAAGGTGTCAGTCACTCTCACACAAGGTAAACTAATTGCTCATGTTCAGTGAATGGGTTACCTAATACAGTATCAATGTTTTCCTCAAGCACTTAAAATCTCCCTTCCATTCCTGTATTTATCATGATAATTAAAGAAATCTCATTTCATTATGTTGGCTAAAAAACAACTAATATGTTGTTCTGGGCTACAGCTAAGAGGAAACCAAGAAAAACATGTTATGCTTCCAATTTCTCAAGAAATGTTTAATATAAAATCTTCCTCCCATATAGGTGGCATTGCACAAGGCCTACAAACTCAATATTTGAAGATCATTCTCAAAGAAGCCAGCCATTGAATCTAATGACTGGAAACACACATCTATGAACAAGCAAATAATATTTGTTCAGCATAATCAATGTTCTTATGTTTTATTTATTTAATGTCATTAATCACCGCTCAGTAAAAATATCAAGAATTCAATATAAATAGGGTCTAAACAAAACTTTACTTCTAAATATAGTACTGTACCTTCCGTTATTTAGAAACTCACCTTCACTTTCAGCGAGTTAGCATTTGGAGAGACGTTGAGGATTAGCGATGCTTCTCGTATTATATAATTATATATATATATTATAATATTATATTTATTATAATATTATAATTATATATTATAATATTATAATATTATATATAATATATATATATATATATATATATATATATATATATATATATATATATATATATATATATATTACACACACACACAGGCTGCCTATCCCCAACAAAATTAATTATTATTAATTAAATGAGAACACAGATAGCAGTTAGCCCAATAGATGAAGAGGTCCTCTAGATACCAGTTCCCTCCCTGTGGAGATGAACATCAGAGAGCTGGTACAATATAATACATCAATCTCACTTATTGTGAGTGTAATACTGGGCAAGTGATAAATTCAACAATCTGTACTTTAATTTCTTGTTTGTGTTGAAAATATAGTATATGTAAATGTTCACGGTCCAGTTTTTAAAAATAGCCATATTTCCAAAACAATTGTCTGACATGACTTTTTTCCATGTGCATATTCATTAATATTATTTGTTTTAATTTCTTCCCTTTTTAACATCCATTTAACTTCCTCAGTATATTAAAATTATATTTAATTATGCAATTACACATTTATTCCCATTACAAAGTAACTTAGGAAGAAATAAGCATCTTGTGAGACTATAGAAAGCATGCGAGTTTCGGTTTTTTCACCTTTTCCATACATTCTCTTTAGATTCATGTATTTTGTAATCAAGAACGACTCAACTGCATGCTGTTAAATGGGGAGGGTGCACCCAGGCTGTTCCAATACCATTTATGTGAAAGAATGAGAGAAATTCCTTATTCTTAACTATTGCTATTTTCCTCCAAGACAGAATCTAAAGTACCAACCAGCAAGAGTGCCATCATCTAGGAACCAGATATTGAGCTTGCAGGACAGACTATCAATGACTTCTTTGATGGCTAAGCAAAACTGGAAGGAGGGTAATTGATCACCATATTAGACATTATTATACAAGCCTATTTCACATTACCCAAAGATTTTTATTTTTTTTAGTTGCCACTGTAACATGATTATATGAATGGACCAAGGGGAAAAATAGCTTTGAACAGGTTGGAGTACATCATCTCTTCTGATTTGGTTCAAGATTTCTTAAAACCAAATGCTTGTTAATACTGTTTAGATAATACAAATTTACACATGTATGGTATCATATCTAATTTAAAACTTCCTTAGCTATGCTGTCATATGCTTGACCTTTACTTCACTTACCTGGTGTTTGCCTGCCATCGATTTCAGAGAATCTTTCTACCCTCACACTTCATCTTTGGGTCAAGGCTCCTGGCCAACCACTCAATCAACTGGGATGCTACATGCACAAATTTCTAAGTAACAGAGTATTTTATACTTACGTGCATCACATTGAAAAGTTTTAAACCTCAAACATTGACAATTCTCATTATCAACACCTTTATTTAAAAAAAGGCATACAAATTAAAGCTAATAAAACTCTATGTAACAAACATATATATATATATTTACAGGAGTTTACATAAATTCAAAAACACAATGACCCAATACATTGTGACTGCATATGGTTACACTTGTATCACTTATTAACACCAAAATGTTCCCAACATAAAACAAATGTAAACAGGGAAGAGTTCAGAATATGAACTGATTCAAGGTCAATTTCCAGTTACATAGGAATTTGGATGTTTTAATAGATAGGTTAGTAGTCAGCTTCCACGCACTCAACAAAAGCACCACCAGTAGACAACATGTCTGATGGTAAATTCTTATATGCAACTTAATTCTGATTGCAATCATGCATCTAGTTAGGGGGGAACAATGCATAAATCCAGTCAGGGTAGCCAAATATTTATTGAAGTACTGTATCTCATTATCTTTAATATTCCCTATTCTAACTTACTACAATTAAATTTTGACTCTTTCAATTAAACTTTGACTCCGAGAGATTTCTTTAAGCATCAAACACATTATTGGTAACTAATTAAATCAGTAAAGTTGACAAACATTATAATTTTAATGTAAATTTATTAGGGTGCTTTATAGACAATTGCAATGCACAATTTTGAAGCTATTGTACATGGCTTTAGACAAGATCATGTTTTAAAGATTTGGTGTTAACCTTAAAATGTAAATTTTGTGCAAACAAAACTACATTTGCATTTTAAGTTACAGTAATTACAGCAATATCTTTACAAAATTAGTGAATTATAGAGTTGCTTTTGATATAAAAATGCTAACGAATATTATAACCTTTATTTGGTGGTAAAGTGATGTTAACGTTCACATACAAGGTTCATTGTATGTATATTCATAACTGGCACATCCTCATATTGGGCCACATTATTTTAATTGCATTCCAATCAACCCTCAATTCCAGGAGGATAAGCAATCTTGAGTATCTAAGAAATATTTCATATATACAGTACAGTAGTTACATTGGATCCTTGTCGATATGTGCATTCTATTTATCTAGCAGATCCTTGGCTTCACTAAGTTTAGCAGAGATGTATGGGGACCCTCCTCTATCAGGGTGATTAACCTGCATCATTCTCTTATAAGCACTCTGAAATTATTCATTTGATTAGAATTCCAAGGCTCGCAGAATTAAAGCCAAGGCAACAATTGAAAAATGTATAAGTGCATGATCATTAGAGTTAGCCTTTGCTATACAGTATGGGTGTCTTCACGGAAATTCACTCTTCACAAGGTATTTAATACAAATGTTCATTAGATGCTAGTGGTGGATTCACTACTTTCAAATTATTGCAAATATTTAAATGTTTTATACATTTCTTGAATTACATTCTGGAATCATAACATCTTCCAAACACACTTCAATGAAGAACTGAAATGTAATTTTTTAAAGTGTCATGGCACACAAATGTGCCTGTGTATCATGATAAGTCATGGTACACAAGCACAAATTTTTGTATATTGAATGACTTAGCACATAGCAATAGTTACAACTACAAGTAGAGAGAGAGTATGAAGAGGCCTGCTATTTCCTAGGTCAGCTGCCAAGAAGACACACACATGTAAGGTGTCAGTCACTCTCACACAAGGTAAACTAATTGCTCATGTTCAGTGAATGGGTTACCTAATACAGTATCAATGTTTTCCTCAAGCACTTAAAATCTCCCTTCCATTCCTGTATTTATCATGAAAATTAAAGGAATCTCATTCCATTATGTTGGCTAAAAAAAAAAAAACTAATATGTTCTGGGCTACAGCTAAGAGGAAACCAAGAAAAACATGTTATGCTTCCAATTTCTCAAGAAATGTTTAATATAAAATCTTCCTCCCATATAGGTGGCATTGCACAAGGCCTACAAACTCAATATTTGAAGATCATTCTCAAAGAAGCCAGCCATTGAATCTAATGACTGGAAACACACATCTATGAACAAGCAAATAATATTTGTTCAGCATAATCAATGTTCTTATGTTTTATTTATTTAATGTCATTAATCACCGCTCAGTAAAAATATCAAGAATTCAATATAAATAGGGTCTAAACAAAACTTTACTTCTAAATATAGTACTGTACCTTCCGTTATTTAGAAACTCACCTTCACTTTCAGCGAGTTAGCATTTGGAGAGACGTTGAGGATTAGCGATGCTTCTCGTTTTGTCATCTTTGGTTCAAAGCCACCTTTGTAGTATTTACTGTTTGCAAGAGTCTGAAAAGTTAGCCCAGTTAATAAACAAAGTTGTCCTACAGATTACTCACTAACGAGGAATATATGCAAACGTAAGTAAAACAAGTTACTGTACTGCTATTAAAAATAATATTTTGGATAATAGCTTCAATGCCTTTATCATAAATAATAATACTACGGAATATTTCATTTAATTTTAGCAGAATCATCAATGTGATAATCATCCCCCCCCCTAGTTAGCCTAACTGGAAAAGTTTTTATTTATCATCTAACAATATTGCACTATGTAATATGATCACCTGGCAGTGGATGGGTCATCCACTTTCATGTGATGGCAGAAGGAAGACCTGATCAATATTTCATTGTTTAATACAGTACATATTTATAATGGTATCTATTATGACTGAATATATACACTAAACCAAACTAATCGATACAGAGCAATGTTTTTGTTTTCCCGTATTAGCTACCATGTTTCTCCGCACTGTGAAAATCAATGTTTCCATTTCACCATTGTTTATTTTCCTTGCTCAATGGTATGTAAAAAGCTGCTTTGTTGCAGTTTTGAGTATTTTTCAGCACTTATAATGAGTCTTTCAAAATTTCAACATTTTAGCTATTATGAGAGCAAAGCAGCATGGACAATATTTAGATCCTGATAATTTTTTCAAATGTTTAAATATGCTATAAAATATAGTACAGTACTGTACTACAATACCTCTATTTTTAAATTCTTTCAGATTTTGAGCTCTGAAGTTTTGGATTGTTGGATTTTAGAAGCATAACTGTATGGAACTGTTATTTTTAAGTACAGTACTGTATAAGACTATAAAATGCAAACATACCTTGCCATCCAGCTTGGGAATACCATTTACTGCATCTGCCATCTTCTTTCCCAAAGCAGGCATGGTACGAAAAACAAAACGAGCCCCAAAACCAAGAGTGGCCAGCCCCAGGCCAGCAAGGATCATCCCACTAGCCTGAAAGAAATTCATAGCATAAATTTTAGCAAAGAAAAAGTAGCTAGTAAATATTAATTACCACTGTTCAAGCAAAATCTTTTTACAGCATAGACAATTTACAATATTCATAATCAAACACACCTAGTAATTATATATTAAATAGCTAACAAATGGTAACCATCATTCATGTTGATTTAAAAAATACTAATACAGTGCAGTAAAATGCTTGCCTTAAAATATCTAAAGAAGAGGGTAGGGGAATCAAGCAAATACTGAATTTTGCTTTATTATATCAATTTGTATTGTCACGTGATGATACTGTAGCATTGAACGCAGTGAAACATTTTCTAGTGGGCCTTAAGCAGCTATCCAAGTTAAATGTTGGTACTGCCTTTGGAAGATACACCCTTGCCTACCGAGAACAAGGTAACGAGATAAACAATTGGTATCCACCCTTAGAATGAGGATATACAGTAGGCTTGGATACAGATTACTGCCCACCCAGCATGACTTAATAACAGGGTTTTAAAACTTATCTTATCTAACCCAACCCAGCTTACAATAACTCAATTGAAACGCTATGCGTACTAGTGGCTGTACAAGAATGTAACAACTCTTGTATATATCTCAAAAAAAAAAAAAAAAAAAAAATTGAACCGAGCCTAATATAACTTGACCCAGCCTACCTAAAGAATATATAAAGAAATAAGGTAATATAATCTGGTCAAATCAGCGAAGTTGTTTTGTATAGTATCGGATCTGTACACAAATAACTTTGTTCACCGTTGATTTCATATATAGAAATTCTTTTGTATGTGTGATTTGTTTACACCAGTGTATGTTATTCTCTAATCTAGTGTCATCTGTGTACGTTTGTTTGACGTACACACACTGTAGTCTCCGCTTACCATACTTGGGCCGTGGATGACTGGCGCCTTCTTATCCTCCAGCGTTAGTTTGTGTCAGATAATTAAACAAAGCAATTCCGTCGTGTTTACACTACAGTTCTGGCGAGCTTGTTCTATGTTAATTCCTTGTCGAATGAGCAGTTTGCAGGCCCAGGACTTCTTGCTCACTTAGGGGTGACCACATCCCTCGGCACCAGATGCACCCCGGGGTTCGGGTAATGTCAAAATGGCTGTATTATCCTATAGTCTTTTGAGAGGACGAACACGTCCAGTGTGGCGAATAGTGTGACTTATTCTTCTTGATGGTAGGTGCAGTTTGCCTTCAGCTACGTACTCCTCTCCCTCGCCGACACTACGAGGCCGCCCTCATGGCACCATCAAAACAAACTTCAACTTAACAACTATAGTTAATAATAGTTATTTTCCAGCACGAACTGCAAACAAAATCCCATATGTTAAGATTGTTGATATCTCAACCTCCCCCCGTTTTAATGTAACTTTCTCCTAACCTTAAATCATATTATTATTATTATTATTATTATTATTATTATTTTATTTTTTTTTTGAATGATACGTTTAATTCATAAAACGTTGATTCGTGTTTTGTGTGTGCTGCTCCAGTTCCCAAGTCACAGTCGTTTCTTTAAACTCTGTTAAGCTTTAAAAAAGATCGTCAGGGCAAATGGGGGGACCTTTGACAAGCCGCCGGCTTGTCGAGGCTACTAGTGTTTTAGTGGCACTTAGGTAAAAATATAAATAAGTAAATAAATAAATAAATAAAAATAAATAATATATATATATATATATATATATATATATATATATATATTTTTTTTTTTAAAACCTAGAAGGGGTACCACCTCTGGTGCAAGTGCAGGGACCATAGCCTCGGAGAAGAAAATAAAGAGTACTCAGAGAAGACCTTGTGGATCCTCACTGAACACTTTGATATTTTTTTCTCCTACCACCCCTATTCTTTTGTTAAGTGTGTATATTTATCTAACTTTATTTGTATATATATATATATATATATATATATATATATATATATATATATATATATTGTTACGGCCCTCTCGGGTCGCAACCGGGTTCTTACTCTGATGTTGTTAGAGGAAGGGTATCCGGCCCCAAGCCAGTAGTGGCTTTCAAGGGATGTGATCCGTAACGCAAGTAAATTAAAGGGGAAGGGAAATAAAGTAAAAAACTTAATATAATATAATTAGCACCGTCACCAATAAATATATATAAGAACGATTACACGGGGGGGGGATATAAACACTAATACACTGTCGTCTTCTTCTGAAGACTCTGGATCTTCTCGGTGCCAAGCTCTCGGTGCTCTCGTGGCCTCACGACGAATCCTTCGAAAAGCTGAGTCTACCCCGGCCACAGGCCAGCCAAAACACAGTTCCACTGGGGGCACCGCCGTGGAGGCCGTCAACCACAAATCCAGCAGACAGCTGGCAGGTTCCGGATCAGCAACGCTGGTCAGGCCACCCCACGAGCGATACTAGGGTAGCGCCCTAGTCAGGAGCCTCGTGTGATACCACAGATCACTCTCCTGTCCACAATACCCCAGTGGTTAATCGTCTCCACCAGTCTGTCCCGGGTATGACAATCCTCAACTGCCGCTTCACAGGCAGGGTAACACCACAGTGTTCATCCAGGAGGCGACTCACAGCTGCTGCAGCAAAACACTTGGTGTCGAGACGGCTGCCTTGGGTAGACTGATTCAACTTCCCTTACAGCAGTCCCAGGTCGACTCTGTAAGCAGACACGTCATCAATAACAGGGACACACTAAAGCACCTCACTTACAGGCTCAGACCCAAATGCCCACCTATCCACTCCATAGATGGCGTTGTTGTCTGAGCTCCACCTCACCAGAGGTCAGCAGCGGCTGTGTTGCGAGCTGAACAGGACTGGAAACTGGCCCTTGTGGCCAGTACACTTCGTACTCACCAGGTGTCGTCGTCCATTTGGAGGGGGTTTCGGGAGCTGACCCACAGATGGCGCGGTCGTCACTGCTCCGTGCTCGGACGCTGGATTCGGGTCCGTAACAATAATTAATCAGTAGACATCCGTCTCAAGGGACCATGGACTTGCGCTCTGGTTGTCGGTCAGGAGTGACCTCTCCAGGGCGCAAAACCAGGGTAGTTTGGTACGGAGAAGCTGTTACCCATGCAGCTGGTGGCCACCCCCTCTCTCCACCGCACCGAAAGTCTCCAATGCAAAGGCAAACGCCAATACGATTAGTTCCAGCACCGTCGGAGGAACTGAGAGCTCTGGAGTTGATCTCGAAGTTGGTGAGAGAAGGCACAGGAACTCCAAACCCGGAGACCGCCGTGGTCGGGGCCGGAGAAGAACGACCCCAGCAAGGGCAAGAACAACCCCAGCCTCCTGAAGCAGAGCCTGGGCCGCACGAGCCACCAGGAGGTGGACGTCCCAGTCCCGCACCTACGGGTTCCAGACAGAGATCGTCACAGCCCTATTCCACCCGAGGCCTGCTTCCTTCAAGACCAAGCAGAAGGAAGAGTGATAATTATTAATTAATTATATTATTATTTATAATAATTGTTGGAGTTAATAATTATCATTCCTCCTTCTGCTTGGTCTTGAAGGAATTTACGGGACCTAAACCTCGCGTCCCTGGAAGACAGACGAGTAATTGGGGGGGGGGGGGAAGACATGATTACCACCTACAAAATTCTTGGAAATTGAAAGTGTGGACAAAGACAAACTATTTAACATGGGTGGAACATGAACAAGGGGACACAGGTGGAAACTGTAAGTACCCAAATGAGCCACAAAGACATTAGAAAAGTGTCAGAGTAGTTAACAAATGGAATGCATTAGGCCATGCCTCTCAGTTCTGGGACTAGTCTGATGGCATACCTTTAAATCCTCTCTAATTTTGCCTTGTTTAACTAGGTATGGACTCCAGGCTGGAATTGCATACTTCAGGATTGGTCTGACTTAAGTTGTATACAAGGTCCTGAATGGCCAATCTAGCATATGCTGCTGCTGATGATATTCTTTTGATGGGGCCTCTGTGGACAGGTTCGGCATGATATCAACGCTTAGATCTTTCTCTCTGACTCTTACAGGATTTTACCTCTCAGATGGTACCTTGTATCCTTGCACGTGTCCATTCCATACCCCCTCCCAAGATAAACTGGGTATACCGGGTAATTAATTGTACCAATTTGCCTCGGGGGGGGGGGGGGGGGTATGGAATGGACACATGCCAGGAGCACAGTTATTATACAATCCTTTCCTGTAATCAAATGATAAAACACTACTATAAGTGGCTAGATGGAGCACTAACCATGAATGTTTAAAATAATTTCATTGATTATTGTTGAATAATGAAAAAAAGAAATCTTGCACTATAATTTATATTATCATAATGACTTCAATCAATTTTACCAGCTGAGAAGCCAATTTTAACATTTTTAAAAACATTTTTGTATGCGTGTGTATCAGTTTATTACGAAGTTTATTTTTGTTTAAATGTGAAAATGTTCTCAATTGTTTTTGCTCTGAAAAAATTTCTTGGAAATTTCACATTGGATGCAATAGCATGCAACTTCTTTGATTGTTTATTGTTTAACCAAATAATGAAGCAGTCAATGTCCAGTACATGTTGCAGAGCATAATAACTCATTAGATTTTCCAAGGGGTCAATTACAAACATCCAAGAAGCACTGCATGAAGAAGGGCTTTTAGGTCACAAGCATGTGGCATGGTACTGACCTTGTAGTTACTATTCATTTACTAAGAGGAAAATAATTTAGTAAGCTGTAGATCTACACAACTTACAGTACTGTATACTATATGTAGCATTTTAGGCACATGTAAAGCTATACAAGTAATATAAAAGCTATAAAAAGGTAATTAAAAACAGGGCATAACATTATTTATAAAGTTTATTTAAAAATACATTAGAACAATATAAATATTATATGGGATAAGTTGGCAATTACAGTATCAAAGAAAAATTATGGTAATAAAATTTTAAGTGATTTTGGCTATATGGTACATGGTAGAGAAAATACAGCATGCTGTTAACAACATATTCATTGATTATGCCTTAGTACAGAAAATAGCTATACTGTATTTATAATAATTAATAATTTTATAATATATATTTTTACATTCTTGCAAAGGCACTAACATGCATAGTGTTTTGGGCAGATACGGCTGCCAATGAGGGTTCTCATTTTCTTCCAAGAAGCCGTTGCTCTCTATACAGTACTTATGGAACGTTTTATACAAGCCCAAAGTCCTGTCTCTATGATGACATCCATGATATTATCCATTTTATATATACACAACTCTAATCTATGAACAATGAAATGGAAATGGTTAAATTCATGGTTTGTGTTCCTATCAGGTACAGTAGGTTTGATCACGCTTCTATGTTTTCAAAGTAAAATGTGTAATGTAATGAAAAGCTGTATCATTCCGTACAAAAAAAATATTTGAAAAATAATATTACAGGAAAATTCACCTTTTTTGGCAACTTGGCCTATTAGGTACAAATATATCGAGTTGTCTTTTTTAATTATTTGCAACTTGAGATGATGGTCAAGGGTGAACCGTATTGTCTAATTCTTACTTCAAATTTGTGGGCATATTGTTGGAACACAGAAAGTTTTTTGAAAGGTGGATGTATAGAAGCATGCCTGTTTTGCATGACCTTGAAACGAATTATCGTCACTCTTGAAAATTAGGCAGTGTATCTTCCGTGAAGCCGTTTCCAATACCTGAGTAATGCTTACTTCAGAACTTTTTTCCAGAAGAGAGCACACAATTTCCACAAACACAGAACCTAAATAAAACACAGTAAATTAATACTTATAACAAATTAGGTAAATTATATACAGTGCATCAAAATTAGCACATGGTTTTATAAACAAATCATGTCTAACCTGTTCACATTTTTGGAAATGATATGTGAACTTCCCTAAGGCTTTTGATAAGGTAGCACATGAAAGACATACATGAAAACTGCATGCCTGTCTTTTCCTGTCCCCCAAAATACAATGTAATTTATTTTAGAACACCTGAATATCATTGTTTGCTTGCTGTAATATTCTCCTTACATTCTGAATTATATGCATTTATAGATACATACCCCTCTCTCTACCTATCATACACTCAATCCAATACTCTTGAATTAACATCCTTACACATCATAATATACACTCATTCTCTGAAACACACAAAGCTATGCCTACCTTTTATTACCCCCTTAAAATTTTCAACCTTTCGTAACTACACAAGTACAGTAACCTCTTCCCCCCCCCCATCCTCAAACCCTCCATCATTTGATTTGTCACCATTCTCCCATTTACTTAAGACGCATCTCGCTCACACCTAGTACATTTATCATACCATATATAAAATGTACTTTTACTGTAATTCTTTCCTCCTGCTCTGATGTATTCCCATTTCCTCCCAAAGTAACCTCCACTGCTGTTCTGCCTGGTTCCCCTCCACCCCCAAGCAGGGATGATGGCTAGTAGCTACCTCATCCCTTTGTGTGTATTTATACCTCAATAAACTTATTTTAATTTGAAATATACCAGGACAGACTGGGGATAAAGGTTGTCGTCATGTCTGAAAAAAACCCGCATTGAATGTAATGAAATGCCATTCTCTGGGTGAGACCCGGAAGCTCCCCGGAGCTATACCGGACTGATGTGTATATATTAGACCTTGGCAACAATCAATGGAGTTCTAGGCTAACTGGGGACCACGAGCCAGAACCTGGCCCCCTCAGTGAGGCATGTGGAGCAATGGACTATAGCCACCCCTATGTAGTTGGAAGCAGTCTGTCTGCCATCTACCAGATCAGGCACCCAGAAAGGTGGAATCCCAAGACAAAGTACAGCTGGTTAAACATTGCAAATTGAAAGCCGAACGAGCCAACAGAACTCCCCAATCAGAACACAAGCAAACAAGCATTACGTCACCACAGTCGCTGCATCGCTGTCTGCACAACTCTTCCCCCCTCCCTGAGAGGGGGGTGGGGGTGGGGGGTCCCAGACCTCCCATGCCGGCTACCCAACCCCAGTTGAGAGGCTGAATATCAAAAATGTGAAAAATGCCGACCAGAGGGAGGGAGGGTTGCCGGGGAGCCTCTGGGTCTCGCCCAGAAAATGGCTACACAGTCGCCGAAGCCAGATCTGACCCCACGGGTAGACCAGCACAGCGAAGTTTAGACTCCCACACAGCTGCTTGAGCAACTGACGAGTGACCCGGATGCCCTCCGAAAACAGCTGAACACGGGACTGCAGCCACAGCAACGCCGCTGGAGGGAGAGACAAGGAAGCGGTCCGAAAGTCCCCACATAAGACCCAGTCAAGTCCGAACCTGAAAGGGAACCAAATGGTACGTCCTCCAGTTAACGAAGAACCTGAACCCAGCAAGCTGAGGAAAGAACCAAATCCCTGGCGAGCAGACATGCTGACCGGCTGGAAGCCCAGACCAGCCAGACGTCGAGGCAAGTCAGAACCTGAACCCCATAACAGACTAAAACGAGTAACCACGACCCAGGTAAGTTATGTAAAAATGTGAGGTGCCAGATTCAAGCCGAATGGAAGGCAACAAAAGCAGTAAGCATGCTGCCCCCACGACAAAACCGAGCCAGTCCCTGAAACCTGGATGAATCGGTATGTGCCAATACGGGTTGTCACGTCCCAAGCTGCCGAGGCAAGTGCAGCAAACACCGGCCTAGAACCCAGCTCCTCCACATCCTCCTTGAGCCAGTCTGAAGACAACTCCAGGAGGGAAAGGCAGTGCAAGACCGAAGCCAAATGCCCATGGTCTAATATATACACATCAGCCCAGTATAGCTCCGGGGAGCTGGAGCATCTCTCCACAGAAAACCCACAATTTTCTGGAAACCAGAGTCTGATAACACATACTAAAATGTAATTGTTTGAAGATTAAAAAAAAATAGATTAAAAATTAAATAAACAATTATAAAAACAAAGATAAAAGTAAAACAAAAACCCTGAAACATTGAGATACTGCCTCTTTTCAGTTCCATCAAAAATAATGTACAGTACTAACAAAACCTACCGCAAGGTGGTGGTGCATGATCTGGATACCTTAATAAATAAGATTCCACATCTAAGTGTCAAAGATCTTGACTAAAAATATCTTGTAGTACATGTGCAGCTTTGTTAGCAGCAGGCTTATTGGTTCTACTGGACATGATATTGCACCTACTAGGGATTAATAATGTATAATCTTGTACAATAATAGGTAATGTATTCCCATTCCACAGATACCAATCATCAGATAAACCTAACCATACATTACCATACCTTCAACATCTCGGCGGAAAGCAAGTTTATCGGGAAGAGTGGCATATGCAATAAGACGATCCATCTCATAGTAAACATACGTAATGTCATTACAATCATCCAATTCATTAGCTCTTGAACGATTTCTTCCATCTGTACCAGCTGGTTGTCCACCTGCATAGTATGAATTGCAATAGCGTCGATAAATATACAGTATTTTAAGAATGCTTTAAAACATCATGAAATATAGAAAACACAAACATCTCTTATGTACCGTAATAAAAATCTGACTACTGATAAATGTATGCTATACAAATGATTATGGTTAATCATGAATAGATCTACAAAAATCTTGAGTTATGTAATGCAGAAGTAAAATATTTGCCAATCTTAAAACTTAAACAATTTCTGCCAAATATATCTTCCCAGGCTGTTTCCAAACAAATTATGCCAATATTCTTGAACATGAAGTTTAGTGCTATCAATGAACTTTGATGCAAATGTCATCCTCTCTTGGCATATGGTTGATCAAAGTTGACTTAAGCCATCTTAGTACCTTGATACTACTGTCACACTATTTTTCTTTAGAAGATAGGAAAGAAAAGTAAGCCTACCAGTAAGGGAAAACAATGTCCCTATGCCTTCCATAGTAATACAATTACACTGTTAAACATTCACTCCCTCATCACCAATTGTTTTACATGCACTTGTTTGTACAAAGAAAAGTGGGGGAAGTTGTAAAATAAGACAAAGAATCAAGGAGACTAAAATATGCAGGAAAATGACCAGAAAACTTGTAGCCACTTACCGAATTTAACAGGAATTGGTTTACTTCCTTGGCATGATGCTAAGAAGAAGATTTTAGGCTTTTTATTAAAGACTTTTGGCTTTGAAAATTTTTCAATAAACAAATCCCTTTCATACGTCTTATCATTAGGAAGAATTAGATTAGTTTCAGAGCCGTGGCTAATAAACCAGTAAACAACAGAGTCATAATAACGATACTTTGTCATCTGTAGTTCTTTATTAACATAATTTTCTATAGTCTCTTCACTGGGATTTCTCTCAATTTTCACTGTAAATCCAAGAATATCTGCAAATACACGATTTATGTTTGCTATTTCAGCCTCAGCTCCATTTCTCCCTTCAGTAACACAGAAAACAATGCATAATCCAGCTGGCTGGCATTCTCCTGGATAACTTGTTAACATGCGTATCACATTTTCAATTGTTTGTTGCTCAACGCTATTGCTTTGATGACACATTTCAAGAAAATTTATCAGCTTATCTGTATATATGCGGTTCAGCTGATTATTGTCTTCTAATAGCCTTATTATATAAAAGAAGAGAGTTTCCTTCAGTCCATCGTGATTCAATTGCTCTAATGTAACTACTAAATCTTCACCTATACTGTTATTTTTGACAACATCCAATAGATTAAAGACAGGAGCAGGTGTCAAACAATCACATATGCGATTCATGAGCATGTTTTCTGCATATACAAAAAAAACACCATTTCTTTCATTCTCATTAAGATTCATATCATCTTGTACCATTTTTACCTTTTCATTTAAATATTGGCATTCAATCCCTAGGTAGTTGCAAGCCTGTGCAAAGGTAAGCAAATCTTCATCGAGTTTAATTCTAGATGTATTAAAAGTTTCCGTTTTACTTCGAAGATCTAGATTGCAGTAATTTATCAACAGCTTGTAACGTTCAAGCAATATATTAATAATATCGTGATGACCCTTTTCATGGTCTTTCAGAATAGACAGAAAAACATCTCTGGCTTTCTGGACAGCTTCAATATTTTGTGGCTGCTGCTTCTCTGTACCCGTAGTCTTGTCACCGTTGTCTAAAAGAAATAGGAGCTTCACTAATTTTTGAAGTGGAATAGCTTCCAATTTTGAAACATCCATTTTTCTATTGTCTGAAAGAGAAAATTTCTATAAGATTTGAGAGATTCCAAGGGATACTAGTAGATACAAAACATTAATTTTGGAGAATGATTTTGTAGTGTGCTTTGTATTAGACCTTAGATGGCAACTTACATTTTATGATTTATTTTTGCTCATACATTTATGTGAATTCATCTTACACCATGCACTTTTTCCTTAAAAAGAAATGTAAGGAAATCAAGATTATCTTATAAAATCCAATAATTAACAAGAATTGACATCTTGCTGGCTATAATTACGCAATGCAAAAATTTTTGTTCTAGGATAATGATATTTTCGGATTATTTGTGGCTGCAAATTATAGAAAATGGCTATTACTCCTCTAAAGCTTTACTTTGACATATGATTCAGAGAAAACATCTTAAAAGGCTTTTTAAAGGCTGTTACTAGGAGTCTATGCTACTCCGACTTATTATAGAATTGCATGTGACTCGAGAATAGATGAATTCTAAACAAAAAGTGTTTACAACATTTGTGAGACCTAACCTAGAATATGTAGCAGGGTGCAAACACATGCTACTAAATAGCTTCCGGACCTAAAAACTATGTTAATTATATAAAAACAAAAAAAAAAAAATAGGTGAACCAATCACCATGTAACAAATGTTAACAAATTGACAAAGTTGATACAATTGATAAGCAGCAATTTTTTAAATATATATATAAAAAAAGCCTTTAATTCAAGCAAAGAAAACAAATGTGCCAAAAGAGAATTCATAAATACCCTTTTGAAAAAAATCAGTGGTGGGTGGTTAAAATAACTGAAATGAGAGGGCTGCACATGCCAAAACCATGGCAAGCTTCAAAATATCATGCAATAAAAATCACTGGGAAGACAGGACACCATGAGCATAGTGCTTATCCTGGAACTACACTTGGGTACAATTGTACCCGCCAGATCTGCACCATATAAAGTATCTCTTGGCACTGTACATATATTGACTGTCTCCAACAATGCACTCCCGAGATGACTATATGTAGGATTGGTATCGGGACACATTCATTCATTCTCCTACTGGGCTCACTTCTAGCAACACCACTGTCAATCTCAGAAATGCATCATGGTATTGCCATTTCATTGTTCATATGAGAAGCTTAGTAAAGTTCTTTCTACTACCGAGCCCACTGCATTCCCTTCTGTGCTCAACAGATGCACACTGGCACATATTTTATATATACAGTATATCAGTTTGGGGTTAATGGTCCTGAAATCAGCCACTAAAGAAACCCTCGATGATTTGTTTCTATGCTGTTGCAGGATCTGGACAATATTTTTTGCCATGTATGACACAATGCTATCTGGAAAACCTGCAAGCACAAGGAAGTTCTAAACCTCCTTGTAGCCAAATCAGTGCCTCTAATGTGCCTTTATTGTCAAGATAGATTGATTAAATTCTCCTTCATATAGGATACTTTTTAGATTAAAGCAACTGAACTGACATTAATTTGTACATGAATGAGACATAGATGTGAATATGATGCACTTGAGATTCACACGTAAAGATTGAATGTACATTTATTCCTATTGCATATAAATCCTAAATCTATAATGTATAAGTCTACTACATACATCTATTATGTAAAAATCTACTAAATAAATTACAAAGTATGTAAAATCTATCAAATCAATGATGTATAAATCTACATAATTATGTATAAATCTACTACATTATTATGTATAATATATTGTATTATAAATCTACATCTATTATATATAAATTATTACATCATGCATAAATTCACTAAACCATTTGTGTATGATTCTACTAAATCAATTACGTATGCACAAATCTACCAAATCAATTATGTATATTTCTACATAATGTATAAATCTTTTGCATCTATTATATATTAATTACTGTATTATAAATCTACATCTATTATATATATAAACTATTACATCAATTATGTAAAACATACTACATAAATTATTTATAAATCTTCTATTGGTTATCTATTATGTATAAATCTACAACATCCATCAATTAATAGGTGCCCTTAATTTGGTAGACCAATCAATTATACTGAACAAATTATAATACAGGTATCAATATGATCAGAAATGGGAATATTAATGACAATTCTAAAAAAAAAATCCACAAATCTAGAAATATTAAACAAAATCATACACAAAGTCAAGGAACTTCAATTTATTTTCACACTTGCCTTCACGAACATTTCCAAAGACTTGCACCTGTTGATGTTATTCCTTAGGCTGTGGAGAAATGCCATAGGATACAAACAGTATACATGGTTCAAACTATGTTAATTTGCTAGAAATAAGAATACTGTAGTAGTACAGTATATAAATGTCTAAATATTCTTAATCAGACTTTTTTAAGCAATAGAAAATAATCATACATTAACACCTAAAAAGAAAACTGGCAGACACTAAGTCACAATAACATGGCTGAAGACACCACGACCAAACCACACATCAGAAGACGAAGAAACGTCAAAGTTTTGTTCCATTCTGGACCATTATCAAGCTCGCACACGAGTTGATAATTGTCCAGGACGAACCGAAACGTCGTCATTACTCCATCTTCTGATGTGAGGTTTGGTCACCTCAAAAATGTCTCACACTCATCAATGCCAATTTAACACTCATAATGTGTATTCACCTAGTTGTGTTTGCGGGGGTTGAGCTTTGCTCTTTCGGCCCACCTCTCAACTGTCAATCAACTGTTTACTAACTACTTTTTTTTTTGGAGGCAGTTGTAGTTTATTAACTACTTTTCTTTTTGGAGGCCTGGTCGAGCCCCAGGCTCGACCAGGCCTCCACCCCCAGGAAGCAGCCCATGACAGCTGACTAACTCCCAGTTACTTATTTACTGCTAGGTAACAGGGGCATTCAGGGTGAGAGAAACTTTGCCCATTTGTTTCTGCCTGGTGCGGGAATCGAACCTGCACCACAGAATTACGAGTCCTGCGTGCTATCCACCACTAAAAAAGGTGACACCCCTAGGGTCAACACTTGCAGCAGAGGAGCTCCAGCATATTTCAACAATCCTAAGTATTGTAGTACAGGTTGATGGTAGTGAGTGGTGTCCCAGAGAACATAAAGGTATAGTGCTCTGGAAAAATAGGTGAGATAACAGGAAAGTGCTAAGGGAAGTGAAAAATCGGATGAGAAAAAGTTGCCCTAGTGTTTACAGTGCAGAGAAGAACATTCAAGATGGCCACTGGCAAGGGGAAAAACAAAACAGAGCTTGATTTTGAGGGATTCAATGAAGAAAGCATTGATATTAGTAGTCTACATAACAAGTTGGTAAATTTAGATACTATAGTGAACTCTCATGTAGAAAAAATTAGTAAATTGAAAGAAAGTAATGACCATTTGAATAGCAAAGTTTTATGTCTTGAGGGTTTAGTGAAAGACTTGCGCAAGGATAAGAATCAATTGGAAACAAATTGCAAAGCCATGGAAGAAGAAAATAAACTCTTAAAAATAGCTTTGGAAGAAGTTAAAGTAAATTTAAACATAAATGACTACAATAGGTTAGGCAAGGAAATTCAACAGGAGAAACAGCTTTTGTCAGCACAGATGGAGGAAGTTACACAGGGAATAGAACAGTGCAAGAAAGATATGCAACTCACTTATGCACAAGTGGCCAAGGAGAAGGAAAAAATAGAAGAAGCAGTAAAGGAAGTCAAACACTGCAGCAACCAAGATAAAACAAACATTAGGCTAGAAGTGAGGAAAGAATTGGCATCTAACCCGAAGTTGGTGCAAAACACAGTTGATCGGAGTAAGTCCCTGATCATTTTTGGCTGCAAAGAAAAGGCGATAACATCTAGGTCAGAAAGAGCTGTAGAAGAAGCTAAAGTAGTAGATAAAATTGTTGGCCTCGTGGAAGGTCTTACAAACAGAGAGAATGTGTGCGACTACAGGAGAATAGGCAGGTACGTAAAAGGGAAAGATCGACCTTTGAGGATCACCCTAAACGGTGCCAAACAGATGGAAGAAGTACTAAGGAATGCTAGAAAATTGCAAAGGGATGAGGATGGGAAAGGGTGGTCGTTAAGACGAGATCTTTCAAAAGAAGATAGAGAGAAGCTGAAACTGAACCTCGCCGAGGCAAAACATTTAAATGAGAGCAGGAATGAAGAAGAAATAAATTCTTTTTTCTACAAAGTGATAGGGGTAGGCAAACCAGTAAAGTGGTACATAAAGGCAAACCAACAAAATCAATAGAGAGAGGGGGAGTGAAGAATAAGGAGAGGGGGAACAAGTTCCTGAAGATTGCATACACCAACATAGATGGAGTGAGATCGAAGATACTGGAGTTAAGTGATGTAATACAGCTGCAGACACCAGACATTGTTGCACTCACGGAGACAAAACTTGAAGATGTAATTTTAAATGAGGTCATATTCCCAAGGGGCTACTCAATTTGGAGACGGGACAGAAAAATTAGGAAAGGCGGTGGCGTTGCTGTGCTGGTAAAAGAACACCTAAAGGTGAAGGAAATAATGACTGCCAATCCACAAGAAGTTGACATAATAGCACTAGAGATCTGCTATAAGGATGATAAACTAATGATGATAAATGCATATAGTCCACCGCCAAGCAGCACATGGTCAAAGGAGGAGCTAGATAGTAAACGTGAAGGTCTTATAACAATAATGAGAGAGATTATAGCGAGAGCGGATAACGATAGATCACGACTGTTGATAGTCGGTGACTTCAACTTGAAATCCATAGACTGGGAAGCATATGAAGCTAAAACAGAAGATTTTTGGACCTGTAAATTTGTAGACCTCATCCTGGAAACATTCTTGTATCAACATGTTAAACAAGCTACGAGGATGAGGGAAGGGGACGTTCCCTCCATGCTAGATTTGATATTTACCAGGAAGGAGGAAGAGATATTTGACATTCAGTACCTTCCTCCCTTGGGTAAAAGTGACCATGTCTTTTTGGGAATAAAGTATGCAATGCGTTATAAGCTGGAAGAAAATAAGGAGGTTGAAGCAGTTGAAAAACCAGACTTCAGGAGAGGACATTATGGTGACCTTAGAAATTTTTTTAGTGAGTATAATTGGACAGACTTGATGCTAGGCAAGGAAGTGAATGAGATGTATGGCAAGTTTTGTGAAATATATGATAAAGGCACAAAAAAATTTATACCAAAACAGAGATGCAGAACTAGGAAACAGGATTGGTTCAATAGAAATTGCGAGAGGGCTAGAGACCGAAAGACACAAAAATGGAATCAATACAGGAAGAGGCCGAACCCCCAAACATACCAGCGATACAAAGATGCGAGAAACAACTACACGGCAGTGAGGAGAGAGGCAGAAAGAAATTTTGAAAAAGGGATTGCGGACAAATGTAAAACAGAACCAGGTCTATTCTATAAATTCATAAACAACAAATTGCAGGTAAAGGATAATATTCAGAGGTTGAAAATGGGAAATAGATTCACGGAAGATGAAAAGGAAATGTGTGAAACACTAAACGAAAAGTTCCAAAGTGTGTTTGTACAAAATGAAATCTTTAGGGAACCAGATACAATAAGAATTCCAGAGAACAACATAGAACACATAGAGGTGTCTAGAGACGAAGTGGAAAAAATGCTCAAGGAGCTCGGTAAGAACAAAGCAGCTGGCCCAGATGGCGTTTCACCATGGGTTCTGAGAGAATGTGCATCTGAGCTCAGCATTCCACTTCACCTGATCTTTCAGGCATCCCTGTGTACAGGAATCGTAGCAGACGGGTGGAAACAGGCTAACATAGTTCCAATCTACAAAAGTGGCAGCAGGGAAGACCCCCTCAATTATAGACCTGTATCATTGACAAGTGTAATAGTGAAAGTATTGGAAAAACTAATCAAAACTAAATGGGTAGAACACCTAGAGAGAAATGATATAATATCAGACAGACAGTATGGTTTTCGATCTGGAAGATCCTGTGTATCGAATTTACTCAGTTTCTATGATCGAGCCACAGAGATATTACAGGAAAGAGATGGTTGGGTTGACTGCATCTATCTGGACCTAAAAAAGGCTTTCGACAGAGTTCCACATAAGAGGTTGTTCTGGAAACTGGAAAATATTGGAGGGGTGACAGGTAAGCTTCTATCATGGATGAAAAATTTTCTGACTGATAGAAAAATGAGGGCAGTAATCAGAGGCAATGTATCAGAATGGAGAAATGTCACAAGTGGAGTACCACAGGGTTCAGTTCTTGCACCAGTGATGTTTATTGTGTACATAAATGATCTACCAGTTGGTATACAGAATTATATGAACATGTTTGCTGATGATGCTAAGATAATAGGAAGGATAAGAAATTTAGATGACTGTCATGCCCTTCAAGAAGACCTGGACAAAATAAGTATATGGAGCACCACTTGGCAAATGGAATTTAATGTTAATAAATGTCATGTTATGGAATGTGGAATAGGAGAACATAGACCCCACACAACCTATATATTATGTGAGAAATCTTTAAAGAATTCTGATAAAGAAAGAGATCTAGGAGTGGTTCTAGATAGAAAACTATCACCTGAGGACCACATAAAGAATATTGTGCAAGGAGCCTATGCTATGCTTTCTAACTTCAGAATTGCATTTAAATACATGGATGGCGATATACTAAAGAAATTGTTCATGACTTTTGTTAGGCCAAAGCTAGAATATGCAGCTGTTGTGTGGTGCCCATATCTTAAGAAGCACATCAACAAACTGGAAAAGGTGCAAAGACATGCTACTAAGTGGCTCCCAGAACTGAAGGGCAAGAGCTACGAGGAGAGGTTAGAAGCATTAAATATGCCAAAACTAGAAGACAGAAGAAAAAGAGGTGATATGATCACTACATACAAAATAGTTACAGGAATTGATAAAATCGACAGGGAAGACTTCCTGAGACCTGGAATTTCAAGAACAAGAGGTCATAGATTTAAACTAGCTAAACACAGATGCCGAAGAAATATAAGAAAATTCACCTTCGCAAATAGAGTGGTAGACGGTTGGAACAAGTTAAGTGAGAAGGTGGTGGAGGCCAAGACCGTCAGTAGTTTCAAAGCGTTATATGACAAAGAGTGCTGGGAAGACGGGACACCACGAGCGTAGCTCTCATCCTGTAACTACACTTAGGTAATTACCAGGCTACCAGGGCCCCTAATGTGTGTGTGTGTGTGTATTGTGTATAATGGAAGAAAAATACAACATAACTTTCTTGCCATTGAAAAATTACCCTTATACCTGCCAGTATTTCCTCTTTATATTTTGTCCATATTGCATCACTTTCTGAAGCTACTTTGCTTTCTGCAAAATGACGGGAAACAGGAACTACTTTCACTCCAACTAAAGCTAAATTTAATTAGCATTAAGAATATGATACATGTAAACAAAGATGTGCATATACTATAAGAATGTAGGTGTAATATAAACAATACTCGAGAATTCATGTATGAGCCAATAACAATTATTCAAAATCAAAGTCAAGTACTAACTTTGGCAAACTGTGACAATTATATTACAAACCTGATGAGCACAGAATCTTGCAATTTTTCAGACCCTCCTGGAACTCAAGATTATTTGGTGCCAAGTTACAAGCCTTTTCAAAATCTTCCACTGCTTTTTGGAGATCAACTTTAAAAGACAAAATTAAATGTTCTAAATTATTTATGCAACACCTGCATTAGAAAACCTATCACATATCTTTCTAAGATCATCTGTTAATAAAACCTACTTGTATCCTGTGTCCTGTAGTTTTTATGGTTTTTCTTAGTTTGAGAATTAATTCTCAATCACAAATACTGTAATAATTTATGCTTAAACCCTATTTATTAAGCTCTTATGATAAAACTTACACTCACTACAGAAGCCATTTTAAAAGTTATATATACATAACCATATATCCATATATAACCTCACTTTACAATGTAACCAATGCTCACTTTGTAAGCACTTACCTTGCATCCCGCCAGTCTGTTGAGACAAGCCAGCACAAAGTCTATAGTAAACTGTTCCTCTGTTGTAGTATGCAGCAGCCAGATTTGGGTCTAGCTGTATGGCCAGGGTATAGTCTTCCACAGCCTCATCGAAGCAAAAAACCAGCGTTGAATGTAATGAAACGCCATTTTCTGGGTGAGTCCCGGAGGCTCCCCGGAGCTATCCCAGGCTGATATGCTAATGTCAGACTTTGGCATCAGTCATGTGTATGGAGTTCTTAGGCCTACCGGGGACCACGGCCAGAACCGGGCCCCCTCAGAGAGGCAAGGGGAGCAATGGCCTATAGAAGCCCCCGTGTAGTTGGAAGCATTCTATGTCTGCCATCGACCGGAACAGGCACCCAGAAAGGTAAGCGCCCCAAAACAAACCCCTATTCTGGTTAAAATTGCTACCTAAAACCGAACTAGTGGATAGAACTCCCCAACCGAAAACAAGCAAACTAGTGTGACGTCACACACTGCCGCGCCGCTGTCTGCGCAGCTCCCCCCTCCCCGGGAGGGGGAAGGGGGAGCCCCAGACCCCCCGCGCCGGCTACCCACACCTCAGTTCTTGAGGCTGGATGTCAAAAACGCGAAAAACCGCCGACCGGAGGGAGGGAGGGATGCCGGGGAGCCTCCGGGACTCACCCAGAAAATGGCGTTTCATTACATTCAACGCTGGTTTTCTGGGGGGAGCCCCGTCGGCTCCCCGGAGCTAACTACCCACAGACAGAAAAAGAGGGACTTACCCGGGAGGCGGTCGTCGCTCACCCCTCAACTCGAAGCCGAGACAACTGGCTGCAACCGCCGACCCAAAGCAACACAGGCCCGACGAGGGCCAGGGACATTCACAAGGTAACGAGCAGCCAGGACCCTGTTCGACCGCCAAAATCCCCGCGCCCGAATATCAGACCAAGACATATTCCCAAAGACGGCAGCAAGAGCCGCGAACTTACGAACGTCATGGGCACGGGGATAGACCGCAGGCTGGCTAGACCTAATAACCCTGCGGACGACCTGAGAGACCCGAACCCGCGAACAGGGAAGAAGGGAAACCGGATCAACCCACAGCGCGTCCCCGGACACAGAAGCTGTGGCGCGCAAATAACGGCGAAGCGCCGCAACCGGACACAAAACATGATGCACCCCCGGCCTGACCAACCAAGCATCAACCACCCATGGACCCCTCCGGAACGCAGCAGTCTCATTCTTTGCCAGAAAAGAAGGAGACGGCTGCAAACGAACAAAACTATCACCACGCCAAACTTCTAAAGCTGAACCCCAGGGACGTGTACACTCACGGGGACCTAGCAGGGGGCGCCACCGAGGAGAACAGTGGAAGGGCAAAAACAAACTGAATAAAATGACAGAACCCCCCACCAGGCAAAAACAAAAAGAAAAACAAAACCCCGCAAGAGGACAGCGAACCCCAAGGAACAGAGCCGGCCGCGATGTCGGGAAATACAAGCTGAGCAGCACCCTGCGCCCCTACCAGTGCAAACTGCCTCTTACCTGCCGGTAACAAGGGAGAACAGAACACCCAAGAGCCCAACAGGCGGCCGAAAAACCGAAAGGTAAAACGGACCAGCAGAGGCAGACCCCGAGGAGCCTGTGGAAGGTGGCCCCAAGCCCCAAGGGCAGTACTTACAGGGCACCTAGGGAAGGCAGCCCTAGGCGCATGCAGCCCGAGTACTGAAGATAACTCCTGGCTCTCGCACCCACAAAACTAACACCACACGCAAAGCACAGTGCAGTAGCGACACCGGAGCCAGAGCACACGACCATCGCCTATAGCATCAGCCTCAAGAACTGAGGTGTGGGTAGCCGGCGCGGGGGGTCTGGGGCTCCCCCTTCCCCCTCCCGGGGAGGGGGGAGCTGCGCAGACAGCGGCGCGGCAGTGTGTGACGTCACACTAGTTTGCTTGTTTTCGGTTGGGGAGTTCTATCCACTAGTTCGGTATTAGGTAGCAATTTTAACCAGAATAGGGGTTTGTTTTGGGGCGCTTACCTTTCTGGGTGCCTGTTCCGGTCGATGGCAGACATAGAATGCTTCCAACTACACGGGGGCTTCTATAGGCCATTGCTCCCCTTGCCTCTCTGAGGGGGCCCGGTTCTGGCCGTGGTCCCCGGTAGGCCTAAGAACTCCATACACATGACTGATGCCAAAGTCTGACATTAGCATATCAGCCTGGGATAGCTCCGGGGAGCCGACGGGGCTCCCCCCAGAAACATAGCACCCATGACCTAAGCCAAATACTATAAGAACAGCGGTGTGCAATATTATTATAATATAAGTATCTTACGTCAATTGTAGTGTGTTGGCATCCCTTAACACCTTAGAGAACAACTCCTCCGCTTCTTTATATTGTCTTGATTTGAGTAGCTCTCGTGCCTTCTCTTCGTTATTTTTTATAGGCTCCATTTACTCTGCTGCAATATTAAGGCTTACAGTGATACAAATTAAATAAATAAATAAATAAATAAATAAATAAATGTTTATTTAGATAAGGTACATACATACAAGAAATTTTTACAAAGATTGGTTGACTTATAGGTAGAGCTAGTACATACAATGCCTAAAGCCACTATTACGCAAAGCGTTTCGGGCATGATAGAAATTATGATAGATAAAAATTATGATAGAAATTATGAAAAATATATAGATGTACTCTGTACAGAAAGTACACTGAAATCAGCACTGTACATAGTGTTATTGGACACCACTTAACTTCAATGCAGGCTGAACTCCCAAGCTGTATTAGCATGATTACAGGAAGTAGTCAAATGTCATAAAAATGCCAAAAAAAAATGAAAAAAGAAAAAATGGTTATAAAGTAAGATTCATGTGGATCCCTTCACATGTGGGAATATTGTTTAATGACGCAGTTGATGAAATAGCGGAGAGAGCCTTGGTAAAAACTTGTGTCAATGTTGTATGTCAGAAAACTTTGAAAAAATAAAGAGAAGAATCAAGATGATCCAAGAGGATGAAGAAAAAGTTAAGAGAACTGTAATGATCGACAGCAGTAACACACATAAGCATTATGGAATAATAAACACAAATGTGTCCTTCACTTATGGTAGAGGAAAGTCTACATGGAAGTACTCAATTTACATGAGATTAAGAGGAGGATACAAATATATCTGGCAATATGGTGTTTATGTCAGTGAAAAATATAAGGTGTTTAAATTACTTGTATGTAGTATGTTTCATGCCCACACCTTAGATCATTACGTATTAATGTCAACTCATTGATAACTATAGAAATATGGAAATAAGTACTGTAGTGTACCACATCAAATTGTTTGGATGCGTAATAATGGTATGATAGACAATACATGAAAGCTACAAGCACTTTATAATAACAATAATTTATTCACAAGAAGGTACAATAGGTTGGTGAGATTACACAAGAATGGTATTTGTACATTCTTGCAAAGTCACTCACACACATAGCATTTCAGGAACTATTTTAGCAACTAACATTAATAATGGTAGTAGGCCCAAGAGAAACAACAAGCGAGAAGGGCTATTCAATAAATTCATATTTAATAAAAAGAGGATAGACTGGGAGAAAATAAACAGGGAACTTAAACATTCAATGGGAAAATGTTCTAAGATATAAAAATCCTACACAAGGAATAGAAAAACTGACTTCTGAAGCATATGAAGTCTGTCTGAAACATGTTTCTTTTGAGGAAAGCCAGAAAGAGGTCCAATGTAGAAAGAGAACACTGACGACATTACAAAAGGAGGAAGAAATTAATGGAAATGCTTAAGCAGACACGACTCTCCATACAAAGAAGGAATAATTTAAACAGGGAGATTGAAGAAATCGAACAGAGACTGAAGCATTCCTATCAGACTGAAGAAAGGCAACTAGAACAGAAAGCAATTCAAGAAATAAAGAAAAACCCAAAATATTTCTTCACATATGCTAAATCAAAAGCGAAAACCACTGCCAGTATTGGACCTATTCGTATGGTTTCCATCACTAAGAGTCATGGAAACCAATGACCTCCACAATCCAGGCCAACATGGATTTAGAGCAGGAAGATCATGCCTCTCACAGCTACTTGACCACTATGACAAAATCACCGAGGCATTAGAGGAAAAACATAATGCAGATGTCGTATACACAGATTTTGCAAAGGCTTTCGACAAATGTGACCATGGAGTGATTGCACACAAAATGAGGTCAATGGGTATAACTGGTAAAGTAGGACGCTGGATACTCAATTTCGTGTCGAACAGAACACACAGAGTAACAGTCAAACAAGTAAAATCGAGTCCAAGCACAGTTAAAAGCTCTGCACCTCAAGGTACAGTCCTTGCACCACTGCTGTTCCTTATCCTCATATCAGATATAGACAAAAACACAAGTCACAGCTTCGTGTCATCCTTTGCAGATGATACAAAAATCAGCATGAAAATTACCTCTGCTGAAGAAATTGATAAACTACAAACAGATATTAACAAAGTTTTCGATTGGGCACCAAAAAATAACATGATGTTTAATGGTGATAAATTCCAGGTACTCATATACGGCAAAAATGAGGATCTTAAACATAATACAGGGTACAAAACACAAATCGAATCTGCCCATAGTAGGAAAACAGCATGTCAAGGATTTGGGAATAATGATGTCCGACGACCTAACGTTTAGGGAGCATCTTGAGGTTATCTTGAGATGATTTCTGGGCTTTTTTTTAGTGTCCCCGCGGCCCGGTCCTCGACCAGGCCTCCACCCCCAGGAAGCCAGCTGACTAACTCCCAGGTACCTATTTACTGCTAGGTAACAGGGGCATTCAGGGTGAAAGAAACTTTTGCCCATTTGTTTCTGCCTCGTGCGGGAATCGAACCCGCGGCACAGAATTACGAATCCTGCGCGCTATCCACCAGGCTACGAGGCCCCCAGCATAACCAAGGAAGTATTGAGTCTGCCAGAAAAATGATAGGATGGATTACGAGGACCTTCAAGTCCAGAGACCCCATCACAATGGTTGTACTCTTCAAATCACTTGTGTTGTCCCGTCTTGAGTACCGCTCAGTACTCGCTTCCCCCTTCAGAGCAGGAGAGATTGCTGAAATTGAGGGAATACAGAGAACATATACGGCACACATAGACGAGATAAAGCACCTAAATTATTGGGATCGTCTCAAAGCTCTCCAAATGTACTCACTAGAAAGGAGACAAGAGAGATACCAAATAATATACACATGGAAAATACTGGAGGGACAGGTCCCAAATCTGCACAGTAAAATAACAACGTACTGGAGTGAACGACATGGAAGAAAATGCAGAATAGAACCAGTGAAGAGCAGAGGTGCCATGGGCACAATCAGAGAACACTGTATGAACATCAGAGGTCCACGGTTGTTCAACGTCCTACCAGTGAGCATCAGAAATATTGCCGGAACAACCGTGGACATCTTCAAGAGGAAACTAGATTGTTTCCTTCAAGGAGTGCCGGACCAACTGGGCTGTGGTGGGTATGTGGGCCTGCGGGCAGCTCCAAGCAACAGCCTGGTGGAACAAACTCTCACATGTCAAGTCTGGCCTCGGGCCGGGAAGTAGAAGAACTCCCAGAACCCCATCAACCAGGTAACCAGGTATCATATCAGGTAAGATGAAAAGGTACATTGTAGTAACGTTTCATATCAACTAATAACTACAATATACAGTACATTGGACAGAGGTGATTACACTGGTAGTGATCTATGTCTTAAGTACTAATATTGGTGAAGTGGGTACTACAAGATATAGTGTGAGTTTGAAGCACAAGGTAGGAAACTATGAGAATGCCCCAAGAGTGTAACACTTAAATGCTGCATTTACTATTTTAATCTGCAATGTAAAATGTGATACTTGTCATGTAATTAGTGGATTTGTACTCACTGAATTTGTGTGACCTTGAGGGACTTTAAGTAGAGGAGGGTATATCTAAATACTGTACAAAATATCTAAAATACATCTCAAAAGATAGAAATATAGAACTATCTTTTTGAGATGTATTTCATGGTCTCAATAAATGAACTTGACCTGTTGTTGTTGATTTATGGGCGACGACGATCGTGGGATAGGATGTGCCTCGGAGTACCCGTGATGGGTTAATCACGAAGCCGAATGGAGAAATGAATGTCGCTTATCAGTGGAAACTAATGTGCCTAAGAAAATTTGAAGAAAATTAATAGATACCTGATAGTAAAATTTGAGATTATCAACAGGTACAATGTAGCATAATGAGGATTATTTCTAGGTACTGTACACATTTGCATTCAACATAACAACCATGATACTGTATAAGATGATAGCAGTGATTACAATAGTCAAGTTGTATGGCTTAGGCACATATATTGGGGTAGTGTGTAGCACAAGATACAGTGTGAGTTTAAGGTACTAGGCAGGAAACTATGAAGATGAAATTAGGTACTGTACTTTACGGATATACTTTTGAATAAGGCATAGGTTGGAGTTTTTTAATATGTTACGGAGTGAGTTCCATAAACTAGTTCCTTTTATTTGCATAGTGTTAACATAGATTTAGTTTGACTCTGGGGACATCAAAGAGATATTTATTTCTGGTGAGGCAATTATGGGTTCTATTACATATGTCAATGAAGCGTTTCAGATCAGGATCTGTATTTAGGAACAGGACTTTGTTCTTGTGAATAGCACAATTAAAATGTGTGTGGAGCGAGTTTATGCTTAGCATGTTTAGGGACTTAAACGGGTCCGTCTAATTACCACAAGCTTCAGAAAGCTTCCTGGCAATACGTTAGTAATGAATAAATATGATATGTTAGGTTAGGCTGACCTGACCTAACCTAACCTAACCTATCCTAACCTAACCTAACTGAAGCTTGGATCGTCGACTTGATTTGGCATCACCAGGTCTTTATTTTCATCTAATTTCTTTATAAAAACATACTTTTTCAGATTAAAATTATGTTTTTTCGTGTTGTACATTCAGCACCAACATTATAATGAGTAAATATATCATATTTATTCATTACTAATGTATTGCCAGGAAGCTTTCTGAAGCTTGTGTAGCTTGTGGTAATTAGACGGACCGATTTAAACAGGGAGGGCCTGTGTGTTGTCTGAAAAGTTTTTTTATTGTGCTGATAGCAAATTTTTGCTTGATGATGGACTTAAGGTAGTTTGCATTGGTTAAGCCCCATGCACAGATCCCATATGTAAGATGGCTGATTAGATAGATTAGCACACAGCACTGTATAATGAGTGGAGTGTGGAACATAATATTTGATTTTAGATTGTATGTCGATCTCGAACCCATTGTTGATGTGACGACTTATATTGAATTTTGTAACTAGCTCATCAAGATTGTAACTTGCTTAGCTAAATGAATTGTGGGGTTCAGTCCCTGAGCCCATTATGTGCCTCTGTAACCCTTTCCACTACCGCCCACAAGATGGGTATGGGGTGCATAATAAATGAACTAAACTAACTAAGATTGTATACCAACCGTTGTTGAGACTCTTAGGTTATGTTGTATGTAAATCGCAAAACAACCAGATCCAGCAGTTCCCAGGCGAAGCAAGTGTCAAGACGTCCGCTCGTCAAGGTTGAACAAAGAGTAGGGACTTGAGCAGTACAGGAAGGCTCCTTATCTCCCGGCTATCAAGAAACAGCTGACTGTCGGTGGTTTCCTTGTTGGGTTAGGGGCAGCGACAGCACGCGGCCCGTATGCTCCTCGTTCTTGCCAAGAGCCTTTTTTTTCTCTCCCCCTTAAGCCCGGAGGTCATACGTCGCCAGTCGGCGAAAAATAAAACTGTAGTGCCTTACGGCAGAGTAAATAAGAGCAATGTAGTGCACGGCAAGTGTTTGTAGACACAGGTTTCGGGGAGGCGAGAGATATTACACTAAATAATGTTGTTAATTATAAATACACTAAGTAATGTTGTTAATAATGAACTAAAAAAAGTCCACTTATGGATGTCAACCAACAAACTAACACTTAACATAGAAAAGACCTACTACATCTTATTTGGAAGCAAATCTACAAATGCAATTCAGCTTCAGATAGACAATGTAAACATTAGCAATAAAAATGATGGAAAGTTTCTTGGCCTATTCCTAGACAAGAGACTCAACTTCAGCACCTACATACAACACATAACTAAGAAAGTCTCTAAAACAGTTGGTATACTCTCCAAAATCAGATATTATGTTCCTAACTCTGCTCTCATCTCTCTATATTATGCACTAATCTATCCCTATCTCAACTATGGTATCTGTGCATGGGGTTCAACCACTGCAAACCACCTCAAGTCCATCATCACCCAGCAAAAATCTGCTATCAGAATAATAACAAATTCTGCTTTCAGACAACACTCAGCCCCCTTGTTTAACTCCCTAAACATGCTAAACATAATCTCACTCCACAAATTCTCTTGTGTCAACTACATTTACAAAACCCTGTTCTTAAATGCAAATCCTGCTCTGAAACTCTCCCTGGACAGATGTAATAGGACCCATTATCACCACACCAGAAATAAATATCTCTTTGATATCCCCAGAGTCAAACTTAATCTGTGTAAACACTCTATGCAAATAAAGGGACCCAGTCTATGGAATTCACTCCTTATTGAATTGAAAAGCTGTCCAACTTTTGCATCATTCAAAAGCAATACTAAAAAGTACCAAATTTCATCTTCATAGTTTTTTACCTTTTGCTTTAAAATTGCACTGTATCTATTGCTACCCAATCTCCCAATCTTCATGTACCCAATCCGAACATCTTTACCATTGTGATCATTGCTGTCTTCTTATATGTGCTATCAATCTGCTGTATGGTGTCTATTAATCTTGTTTAAATTACCAATCAAGCTGTCAATGTAATCAATCAGAGCTTTAATATACCAATATGCTTTAATATACTTACTAATCTCTCTCATCTCATTTTTTTCTTGCATTGTATCTGTTATCATTTTATTAATTCTGCTAAAATTTACCTACTTAACATTATCTGTTAGATTAAGGACCTGCCCGAAACGCTGCGCGTACTAGTGGCTTTACAAGATTGTAAATACTATGCTATGTATTCTCACAAACCCAATGTACCTTCTTGTATATAAATAAATAAATGAATAAATAAATATTACCTACCCCACACAAAACTCTACGGTCACCCAGTGACCCCCAGGACGACAATGTTTATATTCGAATTATTATATTATATTAAGAACATTACTGACTTAGAACTTTTATCAAATCTAAGCTATGTTAGTTTTAACTCAAATTAAAAATTATATATATAATCTTGTATTATGTTATGGAAAGCGTAATCATTCCATAATAAAAAACAAAAGTGAAAAAATATAATATTTCAGGAAAATGGGACAGTTTTTGTTATTAACAAGCTTAGGTATACACAGCAATGTGCTGCTACCCTGTTTTATATGAAAGATTACACAGTGTAGATACAAAACTAGTTAAAGTTCATATACTATCCCTATCTCACAGGATGGTTAGTCATACAGGGAATCAGGAGAGAACGTGAAAGGTAAGGCTGATCTATTAACCTCCACAAGCAAAATCAGGGTACAGCACAAGCATATCTTCCAATATTCCTGAGTGTATGAAGTAATTACAGAGCTCAAAGCACCTCATACCACTTGGTCTGAAATCACTGACAACAGGGCAATCACAGCTAGGCGACTTAAGTACAAAATATTTATGTGGATCATAACTTCTAGGTCCAAGTCTTCACCAATATCATTTTTGTCCCGCCCGGAATTCTTAGCTAATTGAATTTTGGGGTACAATTCTTGCGCCCTACTGCCCACAGGAGGGGTATAGGTTGCATAATAAATTAACTAAACTAAACTAGTTCCTTTGCAATTTAGGATTTAATTCCAACCACGCCTAGAGCTGTAGATTCCTTTATTTTGTCAATGTTCTTCCTGATTATTTCGCACGTAATGGGGTTACCCATTAACTAATTTTCTAATAAAAAACTTTGAACATTTAATATAAGAAAAATGTCTAATAACACAAAATAATAATTAATGAAAAAAATCCCTTAAACACTTGGCTTTTCTACCTCAAACATTTGCGTGGGTGTTGCGGATGTTATCTAATCTTTTAAGCGTGAGCATTGATATAAAATATTAATTCAGAGTTGGCTGCATTTTTATCGTCTGTCATAACTTGGTTGATCTGATCTGAACCTGAAATTCAGCACCACCAAGGTATTTCGTTCTCAAAACCATACTACTTCAAGAAACTTGGGCTGACAGCAGAACAATCGCTGTCACTCAAAGGGCAGAAAGAGCTAGTTTAAAGATTCAATATATTTTTAGAACTGACAACTACTGTATATGTATGATATGATGGCCGGCGCTCGCTGACACGGACCACATAAAACATCATCCAAACAGTTTGACATTGTAATTGATAAAATTAGGCTGGGGTATCGTTACTTATGGCAGGTGGCCGCAGGTAATAAATCTCCCAACAGTGAGCATTCCAAGTGTAAACAAGAACTAGGATACTCATCAATATCACATTGGTGAATGACTTTTATTAGACCATTGGCATGATGCACTTTGAGCTTTGTGACTACTGAATTCACTCCCCAATATTGGGAGATCTCATACTTAACCCAAATTTTGCTAGTGAAAGCTAGTAGACTGGATTCACACTCCATGTTTTGGCACCGTATGTAATTAATCATCTGAGATGGGAATATCAGATGATATATTTAAATCATGGCCGATACGATTGATGAAGATTAAACCACCCAATAGGTGGCAAGGGCATAAATAGACCGTAAATGAGCTACCAGATTGATTGATACAGATTAAGTCATCCATAAGATAACACACGTATGAATAACACGTAATATTCTGTACACTGTAATCCCTCTTATATAGAGTAGCAGCACACTACTGCGTACTTATAAGTTTGTTAATAATAAATACATAATTCCAGAACGTCAGGTGTAGATCATAAAACAAATGATCACACATTCATCATAGAAGTTTGTTATTTTACTAACAAGGTAGTACACTGACATTTGTAAACGTGTCGTAAATCGCATTTATTTTAATACTTACATAGTTGTTAACTTTACAATTTGTCCAAAACACTGTGGATTGGGGGGCGGTGAACAGAATAAACATATATATATTGTGACACTAGCTCTCCACTTGTCAGTAGCTTAAATTATAAACTGTACTTGTGGTCCTCCTCGAGTTATTGTTGACGTGAAGATGTGCATTTAATTTTGTAACTAGCTCGTCAAGATTGTAACTTGCTTAGCTAAATGAATTGTGGGGTTCAGTCCCTGAGCCCATTATGTGCCTCTGTAACCCTTTCCACTACCGCCCACAGGATGGGTATGGGGTGTATAATAAATGAACTGAACTAACTGATTATCGGCGTTGTAAACAAAAATACCAATAATAAAATATACCATTTATCAATACTGTACTACAGTGTAATATGACCAGTGTATATTGTCTTTTTGAATTATCTCCATAATCGTGTTTTTGTAACAGATAAAATATAGATAACAGATAGATACGTTGGGGTGGGTATATTCGCCACCATGATTCGATAACGGATTAGTGGGTGTTGGTGTGTGAAGAGGAGTGTGCATGAGGCTTTGATATACTTAGTAGTGTATGTGAGCTAACACCTCACTCAACACTCACAATGGAGCTGGATGAGAGTAAGTTTATCATAGGTATTGACTGTTTGGTGGTATGCATTCATACATGCCTGCATATATGTTTATATATGACTGTATGTCATTGCCATTTGAATACATATTGTCTTGCAAAATCTTGCCGTACTGTTAATAACCAACAACTTAAAATGCATTTCCCTATGAATTTCGTAGTCTAATTCTGATTATATTACGTTTAAACTTGCTATTATATATAATAAATAAATAAATAACGAATATTGAACATATTAAAGGAAAATACACGCATTATTACAACTTACAGGCAATACATTAATTAACTTTGGTGTCTCATGGATGCACCAATGGAAGGTGAAGAGGTAATTAATGTTAAACGTAAAGGAACATAATTTTACAGGTAAATATGCTCATTTTATAACGAAATATGACCAAAATATGAGTCACAATAACGTGGCTGAAGTATGTTGACCAGACCACACACTAGAAGGTGAAGGGACGACGACGTTTCGGTCTGCTCTGGACCATTTTCAAGTCGATTATGACCGAAACGTCGTCATCCCTTCACCTTCTAGTGTGTGGTCTGGTCAACATACTTCAGCCACGTTATTGTGACTCATCGCCTGCAAACCGAAAATTACCAAAACAACCCCAAAGTCTGTCAAATTAAGCAAATAAAGAATTAAATATTATTATTCAGTAGTGAGCCAGATACACTGGAACATTACCCCAGAGGCATAATAACCTAGAGTAACGTTAATTTATTGCTGAATTAACGACGATAAGAATGATTTAACATTGATAACGTTGATCCAACGTTGATTCAGGGTTTCTCTTGGATTTGTGCCCATTGGAAATTGGTGACCTGGATGTAAACAATGTTCTGCTCGAATTCTGGAGAAATTGTTAACGTTTGTTTCTGCAAAGTTTCCTAAGAGAAAAGAATGAAAATGGTATGCCTGAGAGGGTGCTTATGACACCTCTGCCTATTACTGGGTAGCCTACCATATCGCTCCGGTCCTGCAGCGACATTTTCAACCGTTCTCATCTGGTTGATAAGGGTTATCTCTCTACATGTCATAATCCCTGGTTCCGCGATTAAAGCTATTAATGAACTGATTAGCAAGGATAGTCACTTTAAATGTTCATTCCTTTTCCAGCTCCCGTGTGCCACTGTGGTGTGACCAGGCTATCTTATAATGCATTCTTATTGGTCGGCTGGGTCGGTAGTTGGGGTATGAACTGGTAGTTCTCTCTTGGTTTTGTTGATTGTAGGACCTATCTAGGTGTAAGCTGGCAGTTAATTGGTCGAGTGTTTTCGATTCCAAGTACTTCCGAAAAGTCTAGTCTCCTACCACTGATGTATTCGACGATTACATAATTAATCTGAGATGTAAACAATGTGCTGAAGCTGTAAAGTCGGAACAAACAACAAAGTATTCAAAATAGACGAATTTCGATTTGAAACAGACATGAGGACGGTGGTTCAGCAACACTCAAAAACAAAAGTGTAGTGTAGTGTAGTGTAGTGTAGTGTAAAAGGGGGAACTGCCGAGTAGCGTCATTGAAGTAATTACCTTGTTTAGTTATAGAAATAGGTGAAACAAATACACGAAATCTTCACATGGGCAGTAGGCCTAGTACGATATTGCTGCCTCATATGGGTTAGTGGGCCTACTTTAGTGTGCCTTCCCAAATATGTTTACATATGAGCTTAGATGTGTCTGTGATGTAACATAGCTGGAGTATTATCGTGAATGCTTTGTTATAATACTTGTAGTTTATCTTTATTTTTCTTTGTAATTCTGACTGAAGATGTTTTAAATGGAAGATCTTGTCGCCATGTGTCTTCTTAAAATGTGGTTAAGTCTTCAAAATACAGTATTACAAAATTTTCTCAGAGCAGCCAATTTTCTGTGGGCTACAGTTGAGTGTCTTTATAATTTGTCTGCGGTTCATAACTCTTTTTCGTTCCTTGCAGGTGATGGGAACATTGTTCTGAGAAACAGAAAATCTTCCCCAGTCGTAAAATGGTCTAGTATCCCGTACAGTAAGATAGTGAAGCTCCTGTTTCTCCAGGACAACGGCGACAAGACCATGGCCGGAACTGACAGTCACCTTCAGCTGAGCATTAAAGCAGCGCGTGAGGCCCAAGAGGCTTTCCTTTCCGTCCTGCATAACCAGAAATTCAGTTTTGTTTTTATTATGGAGTTGCTGCAGAAGCGCATCATGGAACTGAAGGAATATCCGATCATAGTATTGGAAGAAGACAACGAGGCCGCCAACTGGGCAGTAAGGAAGCAAGACGAGGACCTGCTCACTCTGGCCGAGATTTGCTGTTACCTCACCATCGATTGCCAGGGCCTGGAAGATAAGATTAAGAAAGTCCAGGAAAAATTATCCCTCACGGAAGATGAAAAGAAAGCGAGTTTTTTCATATATGCGGAGAATTTAAGAATGAGTCGCATCTGTGATCGTCTGACGTCCAACCTCGTCCTTCAACTGTTTGATACTGTTAAAAGAGACGTAATACTCAGCAAACATATCGATCAAAATCTTGATATTCCGTTGGACAAGCTAAACAAGACCGAAGGCCTCAAGGAGGTATTATTCTTCTACATGGTTAGAGTCTTTGAGGAACACGACAAACTTAACCGTATTTACACAGACAAGCTGGAAGACCTCCTGGAAAAAGTTGGCAAAGAGACAGAAGATGAGGATGACCAGCGCACTATCAAGAGTGTGATCAGCAGTCTGAGTCAATACCCCATGGAGTGTCGTCCAGCCGGCTACTGCGTCGTCTTCTGCGTCACCAACGGCAGGGAGGGCGCTCAAGGGGAAATAAATAAAGTTAAGAACGTCTTTGAGAAGTCCCTCGGCTACATAGTCCACGTTGAAGAAAATCCAACTCTCAAGAAGTTGGAAGAAAGGAAAAAGGTGCTGGAGAAGCCCAAGTACCGCTTCTATGACTCCATTGTGTTGTGGTTCATGGCCCATGGCTCAGATACCGACCTTCAGTTAGCCGATGGCACGAGTTATCAACGGGAGAATTTCATCGATAGTTTCTCAAGGTTGGACAACTTCAGAAAGAAACCCAAAGTATTCTTCATGGCATCATGTCGAGGCAGAAGTACCATACCTATCACAAAGAGAGGTGAGAGTTCGATTCTATATTTTGCTCCCTGCTACGCATTCCAGAGCTCAGGAGTCTCACTGTTTATGCATTTTAAAACATGTATTCAGTCTGCGTTCAATTCGCGACCGTCCAAGTGATTGGGCACCATTTCTTCCCTCCATCCCACCCCAAATCCTTATTCTGATCCTTTCCAAGTGATGTACAGTCGTAACAACCCGTTCTCGCAAATTCGTAAAGTCAATATTGACTTATTAAATAAGTGCATAGGTGACATACTAAACATAATAGATACCCTTAAAAAGCTTCTTAGAAAACACCGACCTTACCTAACCTTGTTAGTATCTTAAGATAAGCATCTTATAGCTTCGTAATTACAATTGTTACTTATCCTATTATAGGTATAGGTTACGTAATAATTGTAATTACGAAGCAATAAGATGCTTATCTTAACATACTAACAAGGTTAGGTAAGGTCGGTGTTTTCTATGAAGCTTTTTAAGGGTATCTATTATGTTTAGTATATCACCTATGCACGTAGTTAATAAGTCAATATTGACTTTACGAATTTGCGAGAACGGGTTGGTCGTAATGGTTTAACACTTTCTCCCTATAGTTCCCTTCCCCTTCTTTCTCTACTGCTGCCTATTGTAGTGTGTTTTCATCCATTACTACAACACTGAAGCACTTCTTTCTTACCTTCATTTTATTTTATTGTTCATCAGTCATTTGTACACCTTCAACCAGTTTCCTTCTTAGTCTGATAACTAAGCCTCAATTACATTCTTAGATCTCCTTGCCTACCTACGTATATAGCGCTATCTTCTCAGCTCCTGCATCAACTTTCCTTCATAGATTTTGCTATCTGCATGCGGAAAAACATTGGAAAATTAACGAATGTTGAACGCGTTTTCAACACAATTCCCCTTCATCAGAGCAAGGAAGAGAGTGAGCTATCTCTCGTGCTATCTACATGTCTACCTGTCACCCAGATTGGTTACATTCATCTCTCCAACATCCATAAATTTTCCTTTACATGCACTCATCATCCGTACTTAAATCCATCAATTTTAACGGCAGTTTATTTCTTGAAACATGAAGGTGGGGTCCGAGTGACCGTGGACTCCGGCGAAGAGGGCGAGACCTTTTCAGTGATTCCTGAGACATACCGTAACATCACCGCCGTCTACTACAAGATGGACCGACTCGTCGCCAACGCCACGCTTCCTGAGCAATATGCCTTCAGGTTACAAGACGGAGGTCAGTGCCTCCGGATGGGTAAGGATTAGGCGGATGTGGGAGGATTAGGTGGATGGGTGAGGATTAGGCGAGGATAAGTATGAGGGGTTGACTGCGTGAGGCGGGGTAATGCATCTGTTGTGAGGGATAACTGGTAGATGGGTAAATGTCGGAAAACCCGACACCATTTAATAATATTATACACAATTGGCAGATAATATTGCTGCTGTGTTGTATACACAAGTTACCCATAGAAAATGTAGCTTGTAGTGGAATTTTCCGTCAACAGTAAAGGTGGAATGCAATGGTATGTATGTACTCGCCTTGTTTTGTTTGTCAGAATCAAGCAACAGCTGCAAGACCCAGTGCTTCTTAGTTGTCCAATGACTTTCTAAAGTCGTGAATGTTGTTAAACATATACTTGAATCTATGTTGGGCAGTCCACTCATATACCTTTGGCTCCTGTAAGTGTTGAGTTGTGTGTGTGTTGGGGAAAAGTGTTGGAGAGATCCAGTGTAGAAGAATGGGGGAAGGGGCTTTGAGGGAGAAGTGGGGAGAGAGATAGGGGGCATTGAGGGACTGGGAGAGCGGAGAGTAGGAAAATTATCAAAACTCCGCTCAACAACATTTTTTATCAGTGTTTGACGTAACGTTTGTGCCTTTGTGTTCCCCGCCAGGCTCAGTGTACGTGGACACAGTGTGTCGTCTGCTGGAGAAGTACCGGGGGGACAACATCACCAAGGTGCTCGAGAGAGTCTCCAATAAGATGCACCAGATTCTCTTCTCTTGTCAAGAAAGATTTCCGGGAGAGGCCAAACAGGCTTGTTTCTACGAGACCACTTTCCAGAAGACCTTCATCGTTCCCGGGGCTAAACGATGAAGAGTTTGGCTCTTCAGAATGCCCTGTTCCGAGGACCCCCACTACTAAGAGCTACTTAAAATTAAGGAACTAATCACTAGGATTGCCCGTAAAAAGCACTCTGTGAGAATGACTGGTGTTTGGAGGTCTTTCAGAAGCTGTTTGATGAATCTCCTGAGAGCAAATATTGATAGTTTTCAGGATATTCAACATTTGAAGAAAAAACTAGTGGAACTATGTAATAATGATGCAATCTCTTGTGTGGAGGTCCTGAAGAACATGTTTGTGGAGCGTCTCATTACACATCTTACACATTGCCTGGAGCTCCTGAAGACTTTATTGTACTTTCTTATTAATAATCATCAACATATTAGGCTCTAAAATGTTTAGCCAAATCTATCCCTTATATAAAGCAATGATATAAATCTAATGGATATCTTTATAAACCTGTATTTACCTGTTGACCACTGACCGTCGCAGGAAGAAGCCTATCACTCGACACCATTTTTCTTGTTCTTCTTGATGCGTTCTTCCAGATTTATTTGGCATCAACAGATAGGCTGTTCAACAGGCACAGTATGATGCTCTTTAGGTTAACATTTGTATATTCTCTATCCTACATCGTCACTTGGAAAGTTTGATACGGATTAACGTTATATGACTTCAGCGTGTAAATACTGTGAACAATGTCAACCTTGTAATGCCCCGTCCTGTTTTCCCTCAGCTTGACATTGTGAGAGTCAACTCGGTTCAGGGAGGTTTTTCATAAACCTGTACAGTACTGCAATCCTTTTACAAGTAAGGTTACTTTGCGGGATTTCAGTGGTATTTAAAGGGGGGGGGGTCTCGTAGTATATATATATATATATATATATATATATATATATATATATATATATATATATATATATATATATATTCTTTTATATCACAAGTGATATATCTCGCAGGATGGTTAGTCATACAGGGCCATATGTTCAAGAACACGAGAGTGAATAAAGTAAATGCAAAGCTCCAGGTACCTGATGCGAACGGGTCTGAATGGTCCGATAACTGGACATTCGGTGATGTAGTGTGGGAGATCATGCCGCAGTTCCTGCTCAGAGAGTTTGCACCTGGAGTGCTCAGGATTGGGAGATCCGTCACCTGTAGCCACCTGCCACAGGTAACAGTAACACAACCTGATCCTGGCAACCACTGTGTCATAACAAGGGGATCTGGTAGCTTGGTGGATAGCGAGTAGGAGTCGTAATTCTGTGGCGCGGGTTCGATTCCCGCACCAAGTAGAAACAAATGCGCAGTTTCTTACACCCTGAATGCCCCTGTTACCTAGCAGTAAATAGGTACCTGGGAGTTAGTCAGCTGTCACGGGCTGCTTCCTGGTGTGTGTGTGTGTGGTGTGGAGAAAAAAATAGTAGTAGTAGTAGTAGTAGTTAGAAGCAGTTAATTGACAGTTGAGAGGCGGACCGAAAGAGCAAAGCACGACTTTACACACAACTAGGTGAATACAACTAGGGGAATACAGTCTGACGATGCTTGATAAAGAAAGACGGGATGTGTTGTTGCACCACCGATAAGACAGATGAGTTGGTGGTGTTGTTGTTGAGTTAGGGGCGACGACGATCGTGGGATCGGATGCGCCCCGAGTTGGTGGTGCAACACCACCACCAACTCACGATTGTGCCAACCGTGAGTTGGCGGTTGGTTTTTACTCATCATTGGTGGCTATACAATATTTATTTATGCCTTTCATACTTAAGGCATAAAATATATAAATAAAATTATATAGCATAAAAAACTAGCTCTTTCTGGTTGAACTTCCAGAAGTACCTGTTAAATATACAAACGATTCTTCGCGGCAGGGGATCGTATTCCAGGGACCTGCCCGAAACGCTACGCGTACTAGTGGCTGTACAAGAATGTAATAACTCTTGTATATATCTCAAAAAAAAAAAAAAAAAAAAAAAAAAAAAAAAATACATCCTGTTACTGAGGACTGGCAACTTACTGTTTCCAGTCCCCGGGGGATCAGTCGTACACTGGCGTCCACTGAGGGAATACGCGTTTCGTACTCAACTCTGAATTTGTGTTTTTTCCCTTAACCATGTCATCACAGAGGAATCCATCTAATACAGACCATGGTAAGTACAATGTGTACCTGAATTTTCGTGAAGGCCACTAACACCAGTTGCCTCGACGAGGACAGGAAGCCGGCGGTTTGTCGAAGGTCCCCTCCCCCCCCCCCATATATAGTTTGTCACAGCCCTCGTGTTGTAGGCCCTTGTTTATATAAATCGTCATTTTGCCTGCACTAAAACTGATTTATGAGTTTTTTCAAAATAAAAAACATGAATCTATACAGGCTTTTCTGCCCGAAACGCTGCGCGTACAAGTGACTTTACAAGATTGTAAATACCATGCTATGGATTCTCACAAACCCAATGTACCTTCTTGTATATAAATAAATAAATAAATAAATAAATAAATAAATAAATAAATAAATAAATAAATAAATTTCCGCTCAGAAACATGTTAGACGATCATTTCTTTCCCAGCTCCCGTGTGTCCCTGTGACTGTGCGCCACTGTGACGTCACCTTCCTGCTTCCTGACGCCTCATTCGTCAAAGACTGCACAATGCGTCTCGAGTCTTTACGGTGTTTATTAAGAAGTCATAGGTCTTATAGGGAGCCGGTCGACCGAGCGGACAGCACGCTGGACTTGTGATCCTGTGGTCCTGGGTTCGATCCCGGGCGCCGGCGAGAAACAATGGGCAGAGTTTCTTTCACCCTATGCCCCTGTTACCTAGCAGTAAATAGGTACCTGGGTGTTAATCAGCTGTCACGGGCTGCTTCCTGGGGGTGGAGCCTTGGTCGAGGACCGGGCCGCGGGGACACTAAAGCCCCGAAATCATCTCAAGATAACCTCTTTTCGTACCGGCAGTTAATACTTAAAAGTTGTTCAACAAATAAAGCGAATATACTGTATGGAATTTTAAAGTGTGGAACGAAACAGGAAATCCATAATACAGCCGCACTGTATGAACGGTCAGTGGAAATGTTATGGGTCAGAAAGGTGACCTCGTGTGCTTGTAATAAACTATAGTTGTAACCTTTATCCACCCAGACCACTCAAAATACTCACATTACCACTTTCTGACGAAATAGCTAATGATAGACCATTGAATTTCCACAGACTGGCTACTGAACAACTCTCACAATTAAATTAATTGGTCCGTTGATCCCTCTTAACTGAAGGTCAGCATCCTTGAAAAATTAACTCCAAATTTCATTTTACACTTTTATCAGGCCTGACGCAGTTGTTCTAAGGTATAACAACATTATCAGAGGTAGAGTGGAAGTGAGTACAAAAGGGTAAACGCAACAATAAATATTCCATGTGAGATGTGACAAGAGGTGGTTACCCTGTCGAGATCGATTGATTTATAATTATTAAGGCACCCAAGAGGTTTCCCGGGCATCAGTGGCCTGTTGCTTGCCAAGAGGACCAGGCAATCATATAATGTATTCTTATTAGTCGCCTGGGTCGGTAGCTGGAGTGTAAACTGGCAGTTTTCTCTTGATCTTGTTGAGCTTAGATCTTGTTGTCAGTGACGTAACATAGTTGGAGTATTATCGTGAATGTATTGTTATAATACTTTATATTTATTTTTCTTTGTCAGTCTGCTTGAAGATTCATTAAATAAAAGATCTTGCCGTCATGTGTCCTATTAACATGTAGTTAATTTTTTTTTAAATTATTACAAATTTTTTCGAAGTAGCCATGTTTCTGCAAGCTATAGTTGTCATTGTATATTGTTTGTAAAACCTTTTAACTCTTTTTTTTCCCCCAGTCATGCAACGGCCTAACATCCCGTACAGTAAGATAGTGAAGCTCCTGTTTCTCCAGGACAACGGCGACAAGACCATGGCCGGAACTGACAGTTACCTTCAGCTGGGCATTAAAGCAGCGCGTGATGCCAAGGACGCTTTCCTTTCCGTCCTGCAAGACCAGAAATTCAGTTTTGTTTTTATTATTGAGTTGCTGCAGAAGCGCATCATGGAACTGAAGAAATATCCGATCATAGTACTGGAAGAAGGCACGGAGGCCGCCAACTGGGCAGTAAGGAAGCAAGACGAGGACCTGCTCACTCTGGCCGAGATTTGCCATTACCTCACCACCGATTGCCAGGGCCTGGAAGATGACATACCACTCAAAGAAGACCCCGAGGACCTGCTCACTCTGGCCGAGATTTGCCGTTACCTCACCATCGATTGCCAGGGCCTGGAAGACAAGATTAAGCAAGTCCAGGAAAAGTTATCCCTCACGGAAGATGAAAAGAAAGCCAGTTTTTTCATATATGCGGAGAATTTAAGAATGAGTCGCATCTGTGATCGTCTGACGTCCGCCCTCGTCCAAAAGCTGTTTAAAGCTGTTAAAAAAGATAAAATCCTCAGAGAACATATCGATCAAAATCTTGATATTCCGTTGGACAAGCTAAACAGGACCGAAGGCCTCAAGGAGGTATTATTCTTCTACATGGTTAGAGTCTTTGAGGAACACGACAAACTTAACCGTATTTACACAGACAAGCTGGAAGACCTCCTGGAAAAAGTTGGCATAGAGACAGAAGATGAGGATGACCAGCGCACTATCAAGAGTGTGATCAGCAGTCTGAGTGAGTACCCCATGGAGTGTCGTCCAGCCGGCTACTGCGTCGTCTTCTGCGTCACCAACGGCAGGAAGGGCGCTCAAGGGGAAATAAATAAAGTTAAGAAAGTTTTTGAGAAGTCCCTCGGCTACATAGTCCACGTTGAAGAAAATCCAACTCTCAAGAAGTTGGAAGAAAGGATAGAGGTGCTGGAGAAGCCTAAGTACCGCTTCTATGACTCCATTGTGTTCTGGTTCATGGCCCATGGCTCAGAGACCAACCTTAAGTTAGCCGATGGCAAGAGTTATCAACGGGAGGAGATCATCGATAGTTTCTCAAGGTTGGACAACTTCAGAAAGAAACCCAAAATATTCTTCATGGCATCATGTCGAGGCTGTGGTACCATAAAAGTCGAAGAGAGAGGTAAGAGTTCGATTCCATATTTTGCTCCCTGCTACGCACTCCAGACCCCATGAGTCTCCCTGTTTATGCATTTTAAAACATGTATGCAGTCTTTCTCCACTGCTTCCCGTTGTAGTGTTTCCATCCATTACTACAACACTGAAGCAATTCTTTCTTACGTTTCTTTATTTTATTTGGATGTTAGTTAATTTAGTTCATTTATTATGCACCCCATACCCATCTTGTGGGCGGTAGTGGAAAGGGTTACAGAGGCACATAATGGGCTCAGGGACTGAACCCCACAATTCATTTAGCTAAACAAGTTACAATCTTGATGAGCTAGTTACAAACTATAATATAAGTCGTCACATCAACAATGGGTTCGAGATCGACCTCAAGTATAGGTTCTAAATTAAGCAACTGACATATGTGGAGAGCTAGTGTCACAATTTATATGTTTGTCCTGCACACCGCCCCCCATCCAGTGGGCAGCGGTGGATAGGTTACAATCACTCAGTTACTACCTACAGTTAGCAAACTGGGGATATTTGGCTAAAATTTCTGGTAGCAGATCATTTTGAATGAAATATTTACACATATCTGGAACATTGGTTATAGAATTGTCTCTAAATTCACGTATCTTTTCGCACTCCATCACATAGTGACGGAGGGTGTGCGAATAATTTTGTTGACACAGTGGATGTTCATCAGTCATTTGTACACCCTCAACCCGCTTCTTTCTTAGTCTGATAACTAAGCCTCAATTACATTCTTAGATCTCCTTGTCTACCCAGGTATACAGCGCCATCTTCTCAGCTCCTGCATCAACTTTCCTTCTCTCCTCTGCCAAAGATTTTGCTATCTACATGCGGAAAAACATTTGAAAATTAAAGAATGCTGAACGCGTTTTCAGCACAATTCCCCTTCATCAGAGCAAGGTAGAGAGTGCGCTATCTCTCGTGCTATCTACATGTTTACATGTTACCCAGATTGGTTACATTCATCTCCCCAACATCTATACATTTTCCTTTACCTGCACTCATGAACCGCACTAAAATTCATAAATTTTAACAGCAATTTATTTCTTGAAACATGAAGGTGGGCTCCAAGTGACCGTGGACGCCAGCGAAGAGGGCGAGACCTTTTCAGTGATTCCTGAGAAATACCGTAACATCACCGCCGTCTACTACAAGATGGACCGACTCGTCGCCAACGCCACGCTTCCTGAGCAATATGCCTTCAGGTTACAAGACGGAGGTCAGTGCCGCCTTGAGGTGCAACTGGGTGGGGCAGATGGGCAAGGATTAGGCGGATGTGGGAGGATTAGGAGAGGATAAGTATGAGGGGTTGACTGCGTGAGGCGGGTAATATATATGTTGTAAGGGATAACTGGTAGATGGGTAAAGGTGGAATGTAGTGGCATATATGTACTCACCATCTTATGTTTTTCAGGATCAAGCAACAGTTGCAAGACCCAGTGCTTCTTAGTTGTTCAATGACTTTCTAAAGTCGTGAATGTTGTTAAACATATACTTGAATCTATGTTGACCAAACCACACACTAGAAATTGAAGAGACGACGACGACGACACAATCGACTTTCGGTTCAAGACGGACCGAAACGTCGTCATCTCTTCAATTTCTAGTGTGCGGGTTGGTCAACATTTTTCAGTCACGTTATTGTGACTTATCATCTGCACTTGAATCCGTGTTGGGCACTCCACTTATAAACCTTTGACTCTTGTAAGTGTTGAGTTTTGTGTGTGTTGGGAGAAGGTGTTAGAGAGGTCATGTGGGGGGGGGGGGGGGGAAGGTATAGGAAGGGTCCGGTGTGGAGGAGAAGGTGTAGGCGTGGTCCTGTGTAGCAGAATGGGGGAAGAGGCTTTGTAGGAGAAGTGGGGAGAGAGAGAGATAGGAGGAGTTGAGGGAATGAGAGAGCGGAGAGTAGGAAAGTTATCAAAACTCCGCTCATCAACATTTTTTTTCAGTGTTTGACGTAATGTTTGTGCCTTTGTGTTCCCCGCCAGGCTCAGTGTACGTGGACACAGTGTGTCACCTGCTGGAGAAGTACCGGGGAGACAACATCACCAAGGTGCTCGAGAGAGTCTCCAATAAGATGCACCAGATTCTCTTCTCTTATAAAAAAAAATTTAAGGGAGAGGCCAAACAGGCTTGTTTCTACGAGACCACTTTCCAGAAGACCTTCATCGTTCCCGGGGCTAAACGATGAAGAGTTTGGCTCTTCAGAATGCCCTGTTCCGAGGACCCCCACTACTAAGAGCTACTTAAAATTAAGGAACTAATCACTAGGATTGCCCGTAAAGAGCACTCTGTGAGAGTGACTGGTGTTTGGAGGTCTTTCAGAAGCTGTTTGATGAATCTCCTGAGAGCAAATATTGATAGTTTTCAGGATATTCAACATTTGAAGAAAAAACTAGTGGAACTATGTAATAATGATGCAATCTCTTGTGTGGAGGTCCTGAAGAACATGTTTGTGGAGCTTCTCATTACACATCTTACACATTGCCTGGAGCTCCTGAAGACTTTATTGTACTTTCTTATTAATAATCATCAACATATTAGGCTCTAAAATGTTTAGCCAAATCTATCCCTTATATAAAGCAATGATATAAATCTAATGGATATCTTTATAAACCTGTATTTACCTGTTGACCACTGACCGTCGCAGGAAGAAGCCTATCACTCGACACCATTTTTCTTGTTCTTCTTGATGCGTTCTTCCAGATTTATTTGGCATCAACAGATAGGCTGTTCAACAGGCACAGTATGATGCTCTTTAGGTTAACATTTGTATATTCTCTATCCTACATCGTCACTTGAAAAGTTTGATACGGATTAACGTTATATGACTTCAGCGTGTAAATACTGTGAACAATGTCAACCTTCTAATGCCCCGTCCTGTTTTCCCTCATCCTGTCACTGTATGCGAGTCAACTCGGTTCAGGGAGGTTTTTCATAAAGCTGTACAGTACTGCAATCCTTTTACAAGTAAGGTTACTTTGCGGGATTACAGTGGTATTTAAAAGGGGGGTCTGGTAGTATATATATATATATATATATATATATATATATATATATATATATATATATATATATATATATATATATATACATATATATATATATATATATATATATATATATATATATATATATATATATATATATATATATATATATATATATATATATATATATATATATGTGTGTGTGTGTGTGTGTGTATATCACGAAAATAAACACGTGATTAAGAATGTGACAATGTCAGACCACGGAGGAAAAATGAAACAGGAATTTCCTTAAGTACTTTCGTATATTAAATACATCTTCAGAAGGATTCCTTCTGAAGATGTATTTAATATACGAAAGTACTTAAGGAAATTCCTGTTTCATTTTTCCTCCGTGGTCTGACATTGTCATATTATATATATATATATATATATATATATGTCGTACCTAGTAGCCAGAACACACTTTTCAGCCTACTATGCAAGGCCCGATTTGCCTAATAAGCCAAGTTTTCCTGAATTAATATATTTTCTCAAATTTTTTTCTTATGAAATGATAAAGCTACCCATTTCATTATGCATGAGGTCAATTTTTTTTATTGGAGTTAAAATTAACGCAGATATATGACCGAACCTAACCAACCCTACCTAACCTAACCTAACCTATCTTTATAGGTTAGGTTAGGTTAGGTAGCCGAAAAAGTTAGGTTAGGTTGGGTTAGGTAGGTTAGGTAATCGAAAAACAATTAATTCATGAAAACTTGGCTTATTGAGCAAATCGGGCCATGCATAGTAGGCTGAGAAGTGAGTTCTGGCTACTAGGTATATATATATATATATATATATATATATATATATATATATATATATATATATACATATATATATATATATATATATATATACCTCTGGCTGGAAGAAGGGGGACCCATAGCCTCGGAGGAAACCACACATAACGCATTGGAGGGAATGTAGGTCCCCTCCAATTCAGTTTCTGTGTGCTTTTACTTATATATATATATATATATATATATATATATATATATATATATATATATATATATATATATATATATATATATATATATATATATATATATATATATATATATATATATATATATATATATATATATATATATATATATATATATATATATATATATATATATATATATATATATATATATATATATATATATATATATATATATATATATATATATATATATATATATATATATATATATATATATATGCAAACAAGCCTGAATGGTCCCCAGGACTATATACAACTGAAAACTCACACCCCAGAAGTGACTCGAACCCATACTCCCACAACTGGTATGTACAGGGACGCCTTAATCCGCTTGACCATCACGACCGGACATAAGGAAGTGATAGCCGAGGCTATATGAACCACTTCCCCGCCGGCACTCGGATGGTAATCTTGGGCATAGCATTTTATCAAATCACCTCATTCTTTGGGGCACACGTGAGGAACACAAATGCAAACAAGCCTGAATGGTCCCCAGGACTATATACAACTGAAAACTCACACCCCAGAAGTGACTCGAACCCATACTCCCACAACTGGTATGTACAGGGACGCCTTAATCCGCTTGACCATCACGACCGGACATAAGGAAGTGATAGCCGAGGCTATATGAACCACTTCCCCGCCGGCACTCGGATGGTAATCTTGGGCATAGCATTTTATCAAATCACCTCATTCTTTGGGGCACACGTGAGGAACACAAATGCAAACAAGCCTGAATGGTCCCCAGGACTATATACAACTGAAAACTCACACCCCAGAAGTGACTCGAACCCATACTCCCACAACTGGTATGTACAGGGACGCCTTAATCCGCTTGACCATCACGACCGGACATAAGGAAGTGATAGCCGAGGCTATATGAACCACTTCCCCGCCGGCACTCGGATGGTAATCTTGGGCATAGCATTTTATCAAATCACCTCATTCTTTGGGGCACACGTGAGGAACACAAATGCAAACAAGCCTGAATGGTCCCCAGGACTATATACAACTGAAAACTCACACCCCAGAAGTGACTCGAACCCATACTCCCACAACTGGTATGTACAGGGACGCCTTAATCCGCTTGACCATCACGACCGGACATAAGGAAGTGATAGCCGAGGCTATATGAACCACTTCCCCGCCGGCACTCGGATGGTAATCTTGGGCATAGCATTTTATCAAATCACCTCATTCTTTGGGGCACACGTGAGGAACACAAATGCAAACAAGCCTGAATGGTCCCCAGGACTATATACAACTGAAAACTCACACCCCAGAAGTGACTCGAACCCATACTCCCACAACTGGTATGTACAGGGACGCCTTAATCCGCTTGACCATCACGACCGGACATAAGGAAGTGATAGCCGAGGCTATATGATAAAATGCTATGCCCAAGATTACCATCCGAGTGCCGGCGGGGAAGTGGTTCATATAGCCTCGGCTATCACTTCCTTATGTCCGGTCGTGATGGTCAAGCGGATTAAGGCGTCCCTGTACATACCAGTTGTGGGAGTATGGGTTCGAGTCACTTCTGGGGTGTGAGTTTTCAGTTGTATATAGTCCTGGGGACCATTCAGGCTTGTTTGCATTTGTGTTCCTCACGTGTGCCCCAAAGAATGAGGTGATTTGATAAAATGCTATGCCCAAGATTACCATCCGAGTGCCGGCGGGGAAGTGGTTCATATAGCCTCGGCTATCACTTCCTTATGTCCGGTCGTGATGGTCAAGCGGATTAAGGCGTCCCTGTACATACCAGTTGTGGGAGTATGGGTTCGAGTCACTTCTGGGGTGTGAGTTTTCAGTTGTATATAGTCCTGGGGACCATTCAGGCTTGTTTGCATTTGTGTTCCTCACGTGTGCCCCAAAGAATGAGGTGATTTGATAAAATGCTATGCCCAAGATTACCATCCGAGTGCCGGCGGGGAAGTGGTTCATATAGCCTCGGCTATCACTTCCTTATGTCCGGTCGTGATGGTCAAGCGGATTAAGGCGTCCCTGTACATACCAGTTGTGGGAGTATGGGTTCGAGTCACTTCTGGGGTGTGAGTTTTCAGTTGTATATAGTCCTGGGGACCATTCAGGCTTGTTTGCATTTGTGTTCCTCACGTGTGCCCCAAAGAATGAGGTGATTTGATAAAATGCTATGCCCAAGATTACCATCCGAGTGCCGGCGGGGAAGTG